CCGCTGTCTTTGAGTTGTATATGTAAAGTAGTAACTCGGCAGGAGACGACTTCACGGGTAGCACACTCTTTATTTTCGCCAACTTGTAGCTACACGGATGACTAACACCCACTCAGCTACACGGGTGACTAACACCCACTCAGCTACACGGGTGACCAACACCCACTTAGCTACACGGGTGACGGACACCCACTCAGCTACACGGGTGACTAACACCCACTTAGCTACACGGGTGACCAACACCCACTCAGCTACACGGGTGACCAACACCCACTCAGCTACACGGGTGACCAACACCCACTCAGCTACACGGGTGACTAACACCCACTCAGCTACACGGGTGACCAACACCCACTCAGCTACACGGGTGACTAACACCCACTCAGCTACACGGGTGACCAACACCCACTCAGCTACACGGGTGACTAACACCCACTCAGCTACACGGGTGACCAACACCCACTCAGCTACACGGGTGACCAACACCCACTCAGCTACACGGGTGACTAACACCCACTCAGCTACACGGGTGACCAACACCCACTCAGCTACACGGGTGACCAACACCCACTCAGCTACACGGGTGACCAACACCCACTTAGCTACACGGGTGACTAACACCCACTCAGCTACACGGGTGACTAACACCCACTCAGCTACACGGGTGACCAACACCCACTCAGCTACACGGGTGACTAACACCCACTCAGCTACACGGGTGACCAACACCCACTCAGCTACACGGGTGACTAACACCCACTCAGCTACACGGGTGACCAACACCCACTCAGCTACACGGGTGACCAACACCCACTCAGCTACACGGGTGACTAACACCCACTCAGCTACACGGGTGACCAACACCCACTCAGCTACACGGGTGACCAACACCCACTCAGCTACACGGGTGACCAACACCCACTTAGCTACACGGGTGACTAACACCCACTCAGCTACACGGGTGACCAACACCCACTCAGCTACACGGGTGACCAACACCCACTTAGCTACACGGGTGACTAACACCCACTCAGCTACACGGGTGACCAACACCCACTTAGCTACACGGGTGACCAACACCCACTTAGCTACACGGGTGACTAACACCCACTCAGCTACACGGGTGACCAACACCCACTTAGCTACACGGGTGACCAACACCCACTCAGCTACACGGGTGACCAACACCCACTCAGCTACACGGGTGACCAACACCCACTCAGCTACACGGGTGACCAACACCCACTCAGCTACACGGGTGACCAACACCCACTTAGCTACACGGGTGACTAACACCCACTCAGCTACACGGGTGACCAACACCCACTCAGCTACACGGGTGACCAACACCCACTCAGCTACACGGGTGACCAACACCCACTTAGCTACACGGGTGACTAACACCCACTCAGCTACACGGGTGACCAACACCCACTCAGCTACACGGGTGACCAACACCCACTCAGCTACACGGGTGACCAACACCCACTCAGCTACACGGGTGACTAACACCCACTCAGCTGTACTGACACGGGCTCTTACGCCCCGTAGCCTTCCGGGACACACCCAGCCGGGGTGCCCGTCTCGGCTCTGGGTACCACCGTCCCGACCCACACGGGCGTCGGACTACGGTCCCCCCAGTCTCGGCTCCGAGCCACACAGGGCCCCGGTCCCCACAAGGACGGCGGGACTAGGGGTCTCGGGCCCCTACCTCCTCCACCCCGTCTTCGGTCTTCAACTGGTTAACACTGACCACGAGTGCTCTCGCGCGTCCCCCTTTATACCCCTCCTGCGGACGTCGCTGAGAGTACCCACTTATCTGACCAATCACTGCGCACTCGCTACGATCCTCTTTTCCCAGCTTGTGTGAGCGCGCCTCACCACCGGCGCGCGCGTCCATGCCACGCCCACACCGCGTGCCCAACCCCGCGCCCCGTGATCCATCACTGCCGGCGCACGTCAATACCACCACTACATATACAAGGCATCATGTTTTTGAGTTGTACGCCTTTTGGCGTCATCTGGTCCAACACCGATGGAGACTAGGCTCTAAGAAAAGCTGTCTCGGGTGTGGACCAATCAACTTCAAGGACAGTGCATATCATTACCAGAGTTGTTTCTTTTTGTTTGCATTTTGGCTGCTTGTGTTGTGGTTATTGCAAACATGATCCCTTGTATAAAGGTGTCAGTTTTTGTACCAGTTAAAAGGGTAAAAACCTATCACTATATCGCTGTAGAAGCCTTCCATCTCTGTGGCAAGGGACACACAGCGGGTGATGGTGGAACCCAAACAGGTGAAGTCCTGGACAGCTTCCAGTGTCTCGCTGCCAGTGTCTCTGGAAGGGGTGTCTCTGACATTCAGGCCCCGGACATTGGTCTTTTTTAGACCACCACTCACAATAGTCTAGTCCATCCCCATCACTCACAATAGTCTAGTCCATCCCCTTCACTCACAATAGTCTAGTCCAACCCCATCACTCACAATAGTCTAGTCCAACCCCATCACTCACAATAGTCTAGTCCATCCCCATCACTCACAATAGTCTAGTCCATCCCCTTCACTCACAATAGTCTAGTCCAACCCCATCACTCACAATAGTCTAGTCCAACCCCATCACTCACAATAGTCTAGTCCATCCCCATCACTCACAATAGTCTAGTCCAACCCCATCACTCACAATAGTCTAGTCCATCCCCTTCACTCACAATAGTCTAGTCCAACCCCATCACTCACAATAGTCTAGTCCAACCCCTTCACTCACAATAGTCTTTTTTAGACCACCACTCACAATAGTCTAGTCCATCCCCATCACTCACAATAGTCTAGTCCATCCCTTCACTCACAATAGTCTAGTCCATCCCCTTCACTCACAATAGTCTAGTCCAACCCCACACTCACAATAGTCTAGTCCAACCCCATCACTCACAATAGTCATCCCCATCACTCACAATAGTCTAGTCCAACCCCATCACTCACAATAGTCTAGTCCATCCCCTTCACTCACAATAGTCTAGTCCATCCCCATCACTCACAATAGTCTAGTCCATCCCCATCACTCACAATAGTCTAGTCCCACCCCTTCACTCACAATAGACTAGTCCAACCCCATCACTCACAATAGTCTAGTCCATCCCCTTCACTCACAATAGTCTAGTCCATCCCCATCACTCACAATAGTCTAGTCCAACCCTTCACTCACAATAGTCTAGTCCATCCCCTTCACTCACAATAGTCTAGTCCAACCCCTTCACTCACAATAGTCTAGTCCAACCCCTTCACTCACAATAGTCTAGTCCAACCCCTTCACTCACAATAGTCTAGTCCAACCCCTTCACTCACAATAGTCTAGTCCAACCCCATCACTTACAATAGTCTAGTCCAACCACTTCACTCACAATAGTCTAGTCCAACCCCATCACTCACAATAGTCTAGTCCCACCCCTTCACTCACAATAGTCTAGTCCAACCCCATCACAATAGTCTAGTCCAACCCCTTCACTCACAATAGTCTAGTCCAACCCCTTCACTCACAATAGTCTAGTCCAACCCCTTCACTCACAATAGTCTAGTCCAACCCCTTCACTCACAATAGTCTAGTCCAACCCCTTCACTCACAATAGTCTAGTCCAACCCCTTCACTCTACAATAGACTAGTCCAACCCCTTCACTCACAATAGTCTAGTCCAACCCCCTTCACTCACAATAGTCTAGTCCAACCCCATTCACTCACAATAGTCTAGTCCAACCCCTTCACTCACAATAGTCTAGTCCAATCCCTTCACTCCACTCAGTCAATAGTCTAGTCCAACCCCATCACTCACAATAGTCTAGTCCAACCCCTTCACTCACAATAGTCTAGTCCAACCCCTTCACTCACAATAGTCTAGTCCATCCCCTTCACTCACAATAGTCTAGTCCAACCCCATCACTCACAATAGTCTAGTCCAACCCCTTCACTCACAATAGTCTAGTCCAACCCCATCACTCACAATAGTCTAGTCCAACCCCATCACTCACAATAGTCTAGTGCAACCCCTTCACTCACAATGGACTAGTCCAACCCCATCACTCACAATAGTCTAGTCCAACCCCATCACTCACAGTAGTCTAGTCCAACCCCTTCACTCACAATAGTCTAGTCCAACCCCTTCACTCACAATAGTCTAGTCCAACCCCTTCACTCACAATGGACTAGTCCAACCCCTTCACTCACAATAGTCTAGTCCAACCCCATCACTCACAATAGTCTAGTCCAACCCCTTCACTCACAATAGTCTAGTCCCACCCCTTCACTCACAATAGTCTAGTCCAACCCCATCACTCACAATAGACTAGTCCAACCCCATCACTCACAATAGACTAGTCCAACCCCTTCACTCACAATGGACTAGTCCAACCCCTTCACTCACAATAGACTAGTCCAACCCCATCACTCACAATAGACTAGTCCAACCCCTTCACTCACAATGGACTAGTCCAACCCCATCACTCACAATGGACTAGTCCAACCCCTTCACTCACAATGGACTAGTCCAACCCCTTCACTCACAATAGTCTAGTCCAACCCCTTCACTCACAATAGTCTAGTCCAACCCCTTCACTCACAATGGACTAGTCCAACCCCATCACTCACAATAGTCTAGTCCAACCCCTTCACTCATAATAGTCGAGTCCAACCCCATCACTCACAATAGTCTAGTCCAACCCCATCACTCACAATGGACTAGTCCAACCCCATCACTCACAATAGTCTAGTCCAACCCCTTCACTCACAATGGACTAGTCCAACCCCATCACTTACAATAGTCTAGTCCCACCCCTTCACTCACAATAGTCTAGTCCAACCCCATCACTCACAATGGACTAGTCCAACCCCTTCACTCACAATGGACTAGTCCAACCCCTTCACTCACAATGGACTAGTCCGACCCCATCACTCACGTTGGTATCGATCCGCGGTTTTGTTGTTGTCGTCGCTCTCGTTGCAACCAATGAGCGCGCGCGTCCGGCTGTCACGTGACGCGCACATCCGGGTACCGCGGCGGAGTCGTCGTCGAGGCGGCAGTTTGCCCGCGGCCGCCTCCGTCGTCCGCGCGTTGCCATGGGCGCGATTTTTGAGGTAAAAAAAATTAAATCTTTAAAATAATAATTTTTTTATTGACTCAGTCCCACTTTGAAATCTCTCTCGAGTTGTTAACATTGTCGACAGTAGCCCCCCGCCCCCCCGGCCCCCCGAGCGCTGAGTGAGTCGCTACCGGGATGAGTGTTTCTCTCTTGAAGCTTCTGGAAAGTGGGTTTAGCAGTCGCGGTGGGTGGGGGTGGGGAGGGGGGCGATATCGCGATACGATATCGATCAAGTCGCGATTATCGCGATACGATATCGATCAAGTCGAGATATCGCTATGCGATATCAAACATTGCGCGTATGGGGCCGTCCATAAATGACGTCACGCACTTGGGGGGGGGGAGAAATGTGACGTCACATCAAAGTTGCGCAACTTTAAATAAATAAAGACAACGCGTTCTACCTAATTATATTCTTAGGTTTTTTCGGTAAAGTCACGTAGGTAAAACATCAAAATTAATTAAAATAAAATAAAGATCACGACGTTTCGGAGGCAACACAACGCCGTGATCTTTATTTTATTTTTTATTAATTTTGATGTTTTACCTACACGGTGACTTTACCGAAAAAAACCCAAGAATATGAATCCTTGCAGTCACGAAAGCTTCAAATCTAGAATTACTTAATTATACTTCTTAAGAAAAGTTTCCTACAACATCAGAGTGCACCGCCACATTAAATACGCACCACAATGACGACAATAGTTTAAAGCGATTTGAAGCGTGTTTTATTTTAGGGGGGGCAGAGCTTTGTGACGTCATATTTGAGGGGGGGGGGGTCAAAAATCCTTCAAAAGTCGCGTGACGTCATTTATGGACGTCCCCATACTGGTTGGCCGTGTTGGGTGGTGGCGGGTTTACCGACACGACTTACATGCACGGACCACCTCAACCCAACACAGCATCTACACTATGGGGACCTCATTTGCCAGTAAAAATATGATAATTGGTTCTTTACCCTTCTATCTGGCAACAAAACTGACACCTTTTTGCAAGGAGTCATGTTTGCATAGACCGCAATACCTGCAGTCATATTACAACAAAGTATCAGTAACTCTGATAATGTGCATTATGACTGCAGGTATTGCGGTCTATGCAAACATGACTCCTTGCAAAAAGGTGTCAGTTTTGTTGCCAGATAGAAGGGTAAAGAACCAATTATCATATTTTTACTGGCAAATGAGGTCCCCATAGTGTAGATGCTTGCCCCGAGCTCTCATACTCTGATGGTGCATTGTCCTTGAGTTGTGCGCCTTTTGGCGTCATCTGGTCCAACCCATATGAGACTAGGCTCGAAGGAAAGCTGTCTCGGGTGTGGACCAATCAACTTCAAGGACAGTGCACATTATCAGAGTTATGTCTTTTGTTTGTATTATGACTGCAAGTATTGCGGTCTATGCAAACATGACTCCTTGCAAAAAGGTGTCAGTTTTGTTGCCAGATAGAAGGGTAAAGAACCAATTATCACAACACAGCCTCTTGTGGATAACAGCCCAACTCTTCGCGTTCCACTGACGCGACGAGTTGCGGTTGAGCGCACAGCCACCAACTGGGCGTCGCGCTGTGTGACACAGTCACTTATTGTTCATGGGGAGTAAGTGTTATTTTACAAATTGCTTCAGCCTCAAAAGTACTTAAATAGCGGTTAATATTCCTCACAAACTTTGCTTTTGCGACCAGGACACAAAAGCAAAGTTAGCAATCCACTCCATCAATAACGCTGTGTAACACATTCATTCATTTTGTGTTCCTGGGTAGTGTTATTTCCTAATTGCGTATGCCTCACAAGTACAGAAAGTGGCTATTATTATTCACCACAAACTTTGATTTGTGACCAGGACAGTGATAGTTTGAAATGTGCCTGTTTTCAATGAGACAGCGTGGTGTGCATTTGTGTCATTCCTTCACGTCAAGTCTGTTGGGCTAAGTGCTGTGAGCGAGCGCAGTGGGGGGGTCTGACTGGCTGATGCACCACCTGTGCCCCCTACTGTGCCAACTTGCTGTGCTTTAGCCACCCGGCGCTCCGCTCGTTGTTGTGAGCGTCGCTCACACACAGACACTCTCACATTCTCACACACACTGACACTCACACACACACAAACACACACACACTCACACTCTCTCACATTCTCACACACACAGACACTCTCACACACACACTCTCACACTCTCACACAACAACAACAACAACAACCGCCATTCGCCACTAAGTGGCGGTGACGTCACCACGATGCTTGTGCCAGGCCAAGTGCACCTTGAGGCCACGTGAAGTGTCGAACGCTCGCTGACAGGAGGTCACGGGGCAGACCCAGGTGCCACGGGTCGACTGAGATGTCCGAGATGACTGGCTGATGCACCACCTGTGCCCCCTACTGTACCAACTTGCTGTGCTTTATCCACCTGGCACTCCGCTCGTTGTTGTGAGCGTCGCTCCTCCGCCCTCCGTTGTTGTTGGAGGGCGACTGCCTCCAACTGCCCAGTAGCGTCCTTCACGAGCCTCCTCCACTGAGGCCGATCTTGACACCGCTGGTACCAGTCATCGGCAAGTCCACTCAGCTCCACGTTCTCCTGTACCACATCACTCCATCTCTCTCTAGCCCGTGCCGCGCCCGTTTAGCCCCCTCGATCTGGCCGAACAAAAGCTGTTTAGGCATGCGGTGGCTGGGCATGCGGGCTACATGACCCAGCCAACGCAGCCTTGCCTGCCGGAGGAGCTCACCGATGGGACTTTGCCCAGATCTTTCAAGGATTTGTGAGCTCCTCACACAATCCAGCCTGGTTAAACCCAGGATGGATCGTAGGCAGGCCAGCCTAAATGTTTCCAACCGGCGAAGATGCTCCATTAGGGGGGTCCACGTTTCGCAAGCGTAGAGAAGGGAGGGAATGACCGTGGCCGAGAAGACCTGAAGCTTCGTGCGGAGCGACAGACCAGGTAGCTTCCACACAGCGTTACACAACCGATGAAAAGATATTGCCGCTCGACTGATTCGGAGTGAGACCTCTGCTGATAGACTGGAGCCGGTCATAAGCACACTGCCCAGGTATGGGAAACTCTCCACTCTCTCCACAACTTCCCCATCACCGATTGGAAGTTGTGGGGGTGGAGTGTCCGATGGTACAAAATACCTAGGCAGGTGCTTAGTTTTGGTGGGGCTGATGGTAAGGCCCCACCTCTTAGTGGCACGCTCCAGTCTCAGCAGCAGCGTCTCCAACTCCTCTTCTGAATGAGCAGCTATTACCAAATCATCGGCATACATAACGTGGTTGACCAATAGGGAGCCATTCCTTGATCGCACCCGGGCGTCGATCAGCCTCCCATTATATCTGTACCAAATGGAAATTCCCCCGGTACAGCTATTGAACGCTTCACGAACTACGCGGTCGAAATAGATGTTAAATAATGTGGAAGCCAGAGGACATCCCTGTCGCACCCCAAGGTGTACAGGGAAAGGCTCCGACTCCCGGCCACGTAGTTTTACCCGGGCCCGCTCACCATCATGAAGGTCCTTAATGATTGTGAGCAGAGGGTCAGGGACTCCGAAAGCACGAAGAACAACCCAGAGCCCAGTCCTACTGATGGCATCATAGTCCTTGACCAGGTCAATAAAGCAGAGATGTAGGTCTTTTTGGAATTCCCTACACCTCTGTTGTAGCAGACGGACAGAAACTATGGCATCTGTGCAGGACCGCCCTTTCCTGAAACCGCATTGGGGTTCCGCAAGCCTCTCCTCAGCGTGCCTAGCAAGGCGATGTTGAATAATCCTTGCCAGGACCTTTCCCGGCACACTGAGGAGTGAGATGCCCCTGTAGTTGTTACAGTCTGTGCGGTCCCCCTTCTTAAAGAGGGGAACCACCAGGGCATCCTTCCAATCCTGCGGTACCCGTCCAGCGGTCCAGACTGTTGTTATGATGTCATGTAGGGCAGTCTGTGCACAAACGCCACCCTCCCTCAGCATTTCGCTGGGGAGATCATCTCTGCCCGGTGCCTTTCCTGGTCTCAGACTCTGGATCGCCTTCAGTACTTCCTCAACAGATGGCACCTCAGCCAGCCACTCACAGGGGGTGACCTCTTCCAATATTTGAGGCACCGCAGCCTCAGCAGGGTTATCACTTTGTGCCATGATGTTTTCCTGGCTGAGAGATTTTCCCTCCCCCAGGACCTCACAGAAATGCTAAGCAAATCTGCAAACCTGTTCCTGGGGGTCGGAGATTGGATCACCGTTTTTTCCCCTAATGATGGTAATAGGTGTGGCGCTGCAGGTTACTTTTTTGATGGAGTTAAATAGTGATTTGTGATCGCGGGCCACTGAAGCAGACTCCATCTCCTCAGCAACCCGCGACCACCACCCATCCTTGCAGCGCCTTACGGCTCTCCGAACCTCCGAGCGAAGGCTGCGGTAAACCTCCTCATTCTCTGACGTGGGATGCTGTAGCCGATGAGAGTGAGCCTGTCGCTTTTTCTCAATTAACCTGAACACCTCTGTCAGCCAGGGTTTCTGGGGAGGTCTGGACCGCGTACCCAAAGCAGCCATTGCAGCTGCATGAGTCACAGTCTTAAACCTCGCCCATTTACCCTCGACATCAGGTGGAGTGGGGGACGATGCCAACCTCAGCTGCAAGCGATGATGAAATTCTCGTTTGCAACTTTCATCAGCTCACTGAGACCAGGCCACTTTTGGTTGGAATGGGGTCCTGGGTGTACACCCACCACCGGAGTGGAAGAATGGCAGGCGCATCTTACAGATGACTAGTCGATGGTCAGAGGGCAGATCAGCTCCACGGTAGGTCCTGGTGTCAAGGACATAGGCTCGCATCTGCTGGTCCGTCACTATGTAGTCCAGCAGATGTTCACACACACAGACACACACACACACACTCTCACACACACTCACACACTCACACACACACTCACTCTCACACTCTCTGTGTGTGTGTGTGTGTCTCAGGAGAAGAGCAGCCCCTCGTGCGAGCGCTCCATGGCTGAGAGACACTCACACACACACTCTCTCACACTCTCACTCTCACACACACGCTCTCACACACACTCTAACACACTCACACACACTCTCTGTGTGTGTGTCAGGAGAAGAGCAGCCCCTCGTGCGAGCGCTCCATGGCTGGAGGCTGCCGGGGCCCCGAGCAGTCGCTCCCAGCGCAAGCGCCGCACGACGCCAACACGGGCTGCTACAACAGGTGCAGGCGCACACACACACACACGTGCACACACGTGCAGCGGGTACACACACATACACACACACACATACACACGTGTACACACACACACGTGTACACACACACACAGCGGGTACACGCACACACACGTGCAGCGGGTACACACATACACACACAGCGGGTACACACACACACGTGTGCAGCAGGCACACACACATACACACACAGCGGGTACACACACACACGTGTGCAGCAGGCACACACACACGTGCAGTGGGCACACACACATACACACGTGTGCAGCAGGCACACACACACACACACGTGTGCAGGCTCACACACACGTGCAGCGGGCACACACACACACGTGCAGTGGGTACACACACACACATACACACACACAGCGGGTACACACACACACGTGCAGCGGGCACACACACACACATACACACACACAGCGGGTACACACACACACGTGCAGCGGGTACACACACACACATACACGTGTCCAGCAGGCACACATACACACACACACGTGCAGGCACACACACACACACACACACGTGTCCAGCAGGCACACACACACACACACGCGTGTCCAGCAGGCACACACACACACGTGTCCAGCAGGCACACACACACACACACACGCGTGTCCAGCAGGCACACACACACGCGCGTGTCCAGCAGGCACACACACACACACATACACGTGTCCAGCAGGCACACATACACACACATACACGTGTCCAGCAGGCACACATACACACACACACGTGCAGGCACACACACACACACGTGTCCAGCAGGCACACACACACACACGTGTCCAGCAGGCACACACACATACACACGTGCAGGCATACACACACACACACGTGTCCAGCAGGCACACACGTGCACACACACACGTGCAGCGGACACACACACATACACATGCAGGCACACACACACACACACAGATGCAGGCACACACACGTGTGCAGCAGGCGCACACACACACACACACGTGCAGGTACACACACACACACGTGCAGCAGGTACACACACACACACACACGTGCAGGTACACACACACACACGTGCAGCAGGTACACACACACACACACGTGCAGCGGGTACACACACACACGTGCAGGCACACACACACGTGCAGGCACACACACACACACACGTGCAGCGGGCACACACACACACACACGTGCAGGCACACACACACGTGCAGGCACACACACACACACGTGCAGCAAGTACACACACACACACACGTGCAGCGGGTACACACACACACACGTGCAGGCATACACACACCTGCAGGCACACACACACGTGCAGCGGGCACACACACACACATGTGCAGGCACACACACACACGTGCAGGCACACACACACACGTGCAGCAAGTACACACACACACACACGTGCAGCGGGTACACACACACACGTGCAGGCACACACACACACGTGTGCAGCAGGCACACACACACACACATACACACGTGCAGGCATACACACACACACACGTGTCCAGCAGGCACACACGTGCACACACACACGTGCAGCGGACACACACACATACACATGCAGGCACACACACACACACAGATGCAGGCACACACACGTGTGCAGCAGGCACACACACACACACACGTGCAGGTACACACACACACACGTGCAGCAGGTACACACACACACACGTGCAGGTACACACACACACACGTGCAGCAGGTACACACACACACACACGTGCAGCGGGTACACACACACACGTGCAGGCACACACACACGTGCAGGCACACACACACACACACGTGCAGCGGGCACACACACACACACACGTGCAGGCACACACACACGTGCAGGCACACACACACGTGCAGCAAGTACACACACGTGCAGCGGGTACACACACACACACGTGCAGGCATACACACACCTGCAGGCACACACACACGTGCAGCGGGCACACACACACACATGTGCAGGCACACACACACACGTGCAGGCACACACACACACGTGCAGCAAGTACACACACACGTGCAGCGGGTACACACACACACACGTGCAGGCACACACACACACGTGTGCAGCAGGCACACACACACACGTGTGCAGCGGGCACACACACGTGTGCAGCAGGCACACACACAGAGGCGTAGCTAGGATATTTTGCGCCCGGGGACGAACTATAAAATTGCCCCCCCCCCCCCCCCCTGAGAAAGCTGTTCCCGATGTCCTAGATCAGGAGTTGAGTCAGGTAAGATACCGTAGTACTTGTTTTTCCTGATATCACTCAACAATTGGTTCTTTACAGTCGACGCAAGTATGTGGATAAATTCATTCTGGATTTCCGGTGACAAATAAGAAACTGATCCTGGATTTTCTCCTGCGTGCTGTACGTGTTTTGCTAACAATGGGTCATACTGCGCAACGAGTTTGATCAGCGCGATAATTTTTCCAACATTTTTATCCTCATCCGCATTCAAATTTTCCTCATGGCCACGTAGTGCCAAATTTTGTGAAACCAGAAACTTAATACAGGTGAGTATTCTTTGCAATATATCTCGCCAACGTTGTTTTTCCAAATAAATCTGAGCTTCAACCACTGCGTCAATTCCAGTACCATCAATTATCCTTCGTTCGGTTTCCTTACATGTAGTAAAAGCTGTGGTGCGGTGGCTAGGATTGTTTTCATGAGAATTTAGTTTTTCTGGCTTTCTCCACTTGTTGAAACCGTTTGTTAACTCAAACGAAGCTCGTGAGTTGGAACTCGATGATGTAAATAATAGACAACAAAAACAGTAAGCAGCTTTATTGATTGGTGAATATAATAGCCACGAACGATTCACGTCCTCTCCGTTCGCTAGTCGGCGTTTAAACCATGCTGATGTAATTGAACGTGCGTGGGCTGCTCCGGTTGCTGCAGCCGCCTGGAGCGTGGTGTCACTAATAAGAACAAAAAAATTAACCCGTAAAAACAAAGTTTTTCACTATAAATCCTTTATATGCGTGGCATCGGTTTTATTTTATTATTCATTTCTGTTTTTCTTGACTAAGAGTTTCATTTTTATCACATTGGTATTTGAAACGGGCAGGCTAGAGTCCTCTCGTCCTCTGGCTTGAGATGGCTGCCACCTATGGGTCAGATGATTGCCTGCCACCATTAAGCAATTGGTAATTAAATATAAAAAAAAAAATCCTAAAAAGTGTAAAATTTTGGAATTTTTTTTCACAAAAATAAATTGTCACGCACAACGAGTCTGTGTGCATAATGTCAGCTCGATTGGATCACGGGAAGTGGGTTAAAAAACGACCGAAAGATTTGCACGGTCGTAAGTGCGCAAGCAAGCAAGTGAACTTAATATAAAGGATTTAAAAATAGGCCGTCGTAGTTTCCGCCACCAAAAAACAGGCCAGTGACTAAGGCTGAAAGACTGCGCCTGTCTGTTGTTTGGGACGTTCTTCCATGTAAGTTCTTAATAGGCGCGCATACCAAAATGTAATTACATGACATGTAGGCTGTGTGTGGCGGGATATATAAACTTTTAGGTTGAGGTGTAGATTTGTGCAGTAGTTTCAGGCTGCCGTGCCCGCCGCAATCAGTTATGTAACGTTGTAACCCTCATTTTGGCGCCCTTTTACCTTGGCGCCCGGGGACATATATACCCCCCTGCCCCCCCCTAGCTACGCCTCTGCACACACACACACACACACGTGCAGCAGGCACACACAAACACACACGTGCAGCGGGCACACACGTGTGCAGTGGGCACACACACACGTGTGCAGCGGGCACACACACACACACACGTGTGCAGTGGGCACACACACACACGTGTGGACAGGCACTCACACACACACACACGTGCAGCAGGCACACACAAACACACATGTGCAGCGGGCACACACGTGTGCAGTGGGCACACACACACACGTGTGCAGTGGGCACACACACACACGTGTGCAGTGGGCACACACACACACACACGTGTGCAGCAGGCACACACACACGTGTGCAGCGGGCACACACACACGTGTGCAGTGGACACACACACACGTGTGCAGTGGGCACACACACACGTGTGCAGCGGGCACACACACACGTGTGCAGCAGGCACACACACACACGCACCTTCAGCGGGTACGTACATGCAGCGGGCACACACTCACAGGTGGGGTGGGTACACAGGTGGTGATGGTGTTACAGCAGTAAGTTGTGGTGGTGGTTGTGCCATGTGTGTGTGTTACCGTGCGTGTGTGTTACCGTATGTGTTACCGTGCGTGTGTGTTACCGTGCGTGTGTGTTACCGTGTGTGTTACCGTGTGTGTTACCGTGCGTGTGTGTTACCGTGTGTGTGTGTTACTGTGTGTGTGTGTTACCGTGTGTGTGTGTTACCGTGTGTGTGTGTTACCGTGTGTGTGTGTTACCGTGTGTGTGTGTTACTGTGCGTGTTGTAGGAATGACGGCGCCGGTCTCCGGCGCTCTTCCTCTCACCGGGTTCCAGCCAAGAGCCGCTCCACCTCCTCCTCCTCCTCTTCTTCCTCCTCCACCTCCTCCTCCACCTCCTCCTCCACCTCCTCCACCTCCTCCACTTCCTCATCGGCCTCATCACGCTCGGTGCACCGCCACCACCACCACCGCCACCACCACCACCGCCGGCGCTCACGTGGCAGCCGCAGCCGGCGCCGTGCCCGCCGGTGCAGCTGCTCACGGTGCCGCTCACCGTCACCACCGGCACGCCGCTCGCGGGCCGCTCACCCTGCTCACCCTGCTCACCGCTACCGGCGCTCGCCCAGTCGCTCGCGCAGCCCTCGCCGGAGCCACCGCCGCCGTCGGTCACCGTCACGCTCACCGTCACGCTCACGCTCAACGTCGCACCGGTGAGCGCCAGCGTCGGCACCGGTGCGTGGTAATGTCGCAGGTGTAGAGTTGTTACGGGAGGGCAAACAAACACACCAGGGGTGGTTATGCCCGCACGCGGAAGGGTGCCTACATCCACGTCCGCATCGGGTAGCCTGGGGGGCTCAAACGGCGCTGTGATCCCCCACGGCCCCACCCCTCGAGGGGGGAGTTGCTATATAAGGCGGTGAGCCGGTGGGCTCGGGGTTCAGTGTTAGCTTAACCCAGTGAAGAAGGAAGACCGGCTAGATAGGCCCTGGGACTCCCCTGGATCGCCGTCCTTCTAAGGACCGACCAGGGCAAGCCAGCGGCGTGGCCCCGGGAGCCCAGAGCCGATGTTCTTGTAAGAGCCGGTCTGGTGACTCAGGGTGCCGTGATCCCAGCTTGGCCAGAGCTGGGTCAGCTAGCCTCCCCTAGCTCTGTAGTGGAGGACCTGGGAGTAGGCTAGCCGGGACAGAGATTGTGGGACCTCCCTGTTATACGGGTGAAGGGGCCGATACCCCTTCGAGTGTTGTATACCTTGGCCTGTATAGAGTGGAACGGTTAATAAATAAGTGTGCCTCCGACTACGTCGTCCACGTCTCATTGAACCTACTACAACTGGAGTCAGAAGTGGTCTTCTAAAGATGGACACAAGACGGACGGCTCGTACCAAGGAACCTGGGGAGGAGGACACCTCGGCCGACTCGGAGCCTGAAATCGCCGAAGGCGAATCCGAGCAACCGGGGCCGAGTCTACCCACACCGCAGCGGCCGGACGGGTGGGGACCGTCGGCTGACGGGCTGCGGCTGGCTCACTCCCGCCTGGCGGAGCTACTCTACGCGGCAGCCGCCACGTTGGAGGAAATCACTCGCCTGGGGGTTGGAGGAGCAGCACGGGGCGACGTCGGACGACAAGCAACGCCAGTTCCCGCCATTTCAACGGGGCTGGAGGTCGGATTTGCCGCCATCAGTACAGTGGGTGCTGAGGGCGAGGCCGGGCTACATCAGGTGACCGACAGTCGCCGACCAGAAGCCGCCACGTCATCAACAGCGGCCGGCGACGCCGAATGCCAATCAGCGGCCAGCGCGTCACCAGCAGTGCGACCGCTGATGGCGCCCGCCCTTCCCGCCGATACTGTACGGATTGGCGGGAACGACGGTTGGTGATCTACGGCTGCGGAGGCCTCGTTCCGGCAGCGATTGCCGGTCCTCAAAGAATTTGTGGTGGAAGACGGCGACTGGGGAGCCTTCCAAAGATGTTTCCTCGCCCACCAAGAAATGTCGCGATGGACGGACGACGAGGCGCTACGCGCGCTGCCGGCGACGCTGGACAGTGATGCCCTCGCTACCCTCACCTCGGCGCCAAGATCGGCGCGCGCCACGCTGCAGGCGGCGCTTCGACTCCTGTCTGCAGTCTACAGACCACCTTCTGACTGCAGACAGCTGTTTTACGATCGTCAGCGGGGCGCCAAGGAATTGCCCCTGGCATACCGCACAGCTCTCCTGGCCTTGGCGAAGACGGCTTTCCCGCGGATGGACGAGGAAGGGGTGGACGCTATGGTGGCGGAGAAGATATTGCTGTTGGCGGACGATTTGGACATCGTCGTCTTGGCGCAAGACGACAAGGAGATGTGTTCCCTGCGGGCCGCACGGCACATCCACGCAAACTTGCTGTCCCAGCGTCGCAAGGCCAGCAAGGCGGCGGCAAGACATACCATGGCTGCCACCACCCTCCCATCGGAAGAGGTCTGCGCTGTGGGTCGCCCGACAGAGTGGAGATCCGGGGGCCGGCCAGCTCGGGACGGGCCGAGCCACCAGGATCAACCCAAGCCGTCTGGGGCGCTCACGCGCTGCTACAACTGTGGCCTCCGGGGCCATGTGGCTTCGGGATGCCGGGCTCCTCGACAGCGCGGTGCGACGCCTCGGCCGGATGACGCGCCTCAACCCAAGGCTCCGCAGCAAACTCCGGCAAGTCGTGGCACCCCACATGTTTGGCCTACACACACACCTGTGACACACTCACGCACTGCAACGAACGGGGTCAGAAATCAGCTGTCGTTGCGTCGAAATGTGCCACGATGGGGAGGGCGTTCCAACCGGACCAGTGGTCTGAGTTGGCCCATCGCGTTGTTGCCGCGTCGGCGAGGTCGTCGGTCGTTGTGGGGCATATTGATGGGGTTGAGGTGCGGTCCTTGCTCCCCGTTGATGTTCCGTGCTATGCTGCCAACGGGGGCTCGCTGGGCATTATCGGACAGATCCGCGTGCAAATTTGTATTGGGGACATCAAATTATCCGGGCCGGTATTGGTCTCCTCCTCGCTGGCAGTTCCGTGCTTGTTGGGGACGAACTTCTTGGCCAAAATGCCAATTCGAATCTTGATCGACCAAGGCTGCATCGAACTCCCATCGGGCCGACGTATGATGTTCTTGTCTTCCCCCACTACTGTCCGTACGGTATTTGCGACGGTACAAGCGCTGGTTGCGAGGACGGTACGCGTACCGCCGGAGGCTCAGATGCTCGTGCCTCTTAAGCTGCGGCGACCATTCGCTAAGGGGATTGGGGATCGGGGTGTTCTGTTGGGACCGTCTAGGGCCGGGGTCAACGGACCTGATTTGGTTGCGGCCCAGACCATTGTGAAAGGGGACGGGGACCCCTTCATTGCGGTCCTCAATGTTGGGTTGCGAACGGCTGTGGTTCCTCAAGGGACCGTGCTTGCGCACGCAACGCCGGCACCCTGTGAGGAACCGGTCATTGGACAGGTGAGCACCGCTCCTCCGTCACAACCGCATTCGGACCGTGATGAGGGGTGGCTGGATGTGCTTTGCGCGGGATCATCGGACCTGTCCGACTCGCAGCGTGATAGGCTACGAACCCTTCTGCGCGATTTTTCCGACGTTTTTAGACGACACAAATATGATATTGGCTGTACTAAACTGCTGCGACACCATAATCCTTTTCGGTTGAGTCCCGCCGAAAAGGATCATGTCAAATCGGCCGTAGACGACATGCTAGCTGCGGATATAATAGCCCCTTCTACCAGCCCTTGGGGTGCTCCCATCGTGTTAGTTAAAAAACACGACGGCTCATTGCGGTTTTGTGTTGATTTTCGTCGGCTAAACAAGATCTCCGTAGCCGACGCATATCCGCTCCCTCGGATGGATGAATCGCTTGACGCCCTGGCGGGGGCGCGGTTCTTCTCCACGTTGGATTTACTGTTAGGGTTCTGGCAGCTCCCTCTTGATGATGAATTTAAACCTAAAACAGCTTTCCGTACGCTGCACGGCCTATTCCAATTTAACCGCTTGCCGATGGGGCTCCACTCAGCACCGGCAACTTTCCAGCGATTAATGGAATTGGTCCTGGCTGGATTGCAATGGGATTCTTGTTTGATTTACTTAAACGATATCATCGTCTTTAGTAAAACATTCGAAGAACACCTCCAGCGGTTGCGGGCTGTTTTCCTCAAAATGCGGGCTGCTAATTTGAAATTCAAGCCGCAAAAATGTCATTTGCTCCGCGAATCGGTGCGGTATTTGGGCCACATTGTCGGACGGTCAGGTATTGCCACAGATCCCGCCAAAACGCAATTTGTTAGCTCCTGGCCGACTCCCACCTCGGTGGGGGAGGTCAGGAGTTTCATTGGATTCGCGTCGTATTACCGACGGTTTGTCGCCGATTTCGCGACGATTGCTAAACCCTTACATGCCTTGACATCAAAGTGGGTCAAGTTTCACTGGGGCCAGGAGGAGGAGGCTGCTTTTCGCTCCCTCTGCTTTCCCAGGTTGTTGGGGGCGTAGAGCATGTGGTAGCATACGGCAGTCGGGTGTTGTCTCCGGCGGAACAGAGGTACTGTGTTACCCGTCGGGAACTGTTGGCAATCGTTTACTTCGTTCAGCAATATCGCCCATATCTGTACAGTCGCCATTTCACTGTCTGCACAGATCATGCGGCGCTGCAGTACGCCTTGCGGGTTCAACAGCCATCGGGACAATTGTCCCGATGGTTGGAGATTCTCCAAGATTTCGACTTTGAGACTACATATCATAAGGTCATTCGCCACACGAACGCAGACGCTCTGTCGCGTTTGCCGCCCACCTCCGAGTGCGCTTGCCTCCTGGGTTCGGGGCGTTGCAGACCTCCGAATGTACTCTCTGATTCGATCCTTGCGGCCGCCGCTGATGCGCCTTCAATTGCGGGTCCTATTGAGCAAGAAGGGAGGGATTCTTTGCTGGGATTGTCTGTTGCGAAGTGGGGGCGCCTCCAAATAGAGAACACCTTCCTCCTCGCGATGCGCTGTTGCATCGGGGGATCTGGTCGGGGGGTGGAAAATGTCGACTCGTGGGGGTTGGTCCAGGGTCTCTTGATGCATTGGGACGGGAGATCCCGCCGCCACCGGCTGGTGGTGCCTTCCACACTGAGGGTTAGAGTGGTGTGGGCTGCTCACGAGCGACTCCTGCATCTGGGGACTCACAAAACCCTTGCCATGCTCCAGCTGGATTTTTCTTGGCCGGGCATGGCAAGGGACGTGGATGATCTTGTAGGGTCTTGTACTCAGTGCGCGCAACGGAAGCCACCAGCAAGGGGGTCCAACCCACCATTGCAGTCTATCAAGGTTTCCCTGGTTAACGAGCTCGTTGCGCTTGATATTCTGGGCCCATTCCTCGCTACACCTAGGGGAAATAAATACCTATTGACCGGGGTGGAATATTTTAATGGCCTATGGCCTGGCCCCTCGCCAACCAGTCGGCAGCAGCCATCGCGGAGGCCTTTGTCCAGGGCTACGTCCTCGACAAAGGTGCTCCGGAGCGGCTGCTGACCGACCAGGGGAAAAATTCTCGGGTAAACTTCTCCACGAAGTGTGCGAGCTCCTGGGTACGAAAAAAATCCGTACCTCCCCATATCATCCGCAAACTGACGGGATGGTGGAGCGTCTGCATTGGACTATCACGTCCATGCTGTCTCACCAGGTGTCTGAATCCCAGACCGACTGGGACCTTCATATTCCGGGGGTTTTGGCGGCCTACAGAATGGCTCCTCATGCGGTGACCGTATTTTCGCCTTTCTTCCTAATGTACGGTCGCGAGGCTAACCCGTCTGTCGCGACTCAGCTGCGGATCTCCGCGCCGCATGCGCAATCCAAATTGGCCAACCATGTCAAATTCAACATCTCTAAATTGACAGAGGCGCGGGAGGCGGCCATCCAAAATTCAGACCTCCGCCAGAGGGCGAATGAAAGGCTCAGGCTGGGCCGGGTACATGTGCTCCAGTGGAAACCGGGTGACAAGGCGTGGTTGCACTGTCCCCAAGTTCTGCTGGCGACCTCGTCCAAGCTGTTGCGGCCGTGGCGGGGGCCCGTGGTAGTGGTGCAGGTCTTGCGGCCACAATGTGTACGCATCCGGTGGGGGAAGTGTCGGTGGTTCGTGCACCCCTCGCGGTTGAAACCGTTCGTTGCACCCCATGTTCCTACCACACACACACATGGCCAAACATGTGAGGGGTCCACCGACTCCCGGAGTCCGACTTCGCTGCATTCGCCTGACTTGCCACCGACTGTTCCGCCTCCAGGTGCACCAGGATTGACGTGCTCGCAACCGCCAACCCCTCCCGGGGGGGTCGGGGGTCGCTCGTCGGCGAAGCCAGACACTCTCGCACCCGAACTATTGACACCCACCGCCGGGCCGGCCGGGGCTGCCCCTTGTGACGGCCCTGCTGCAAGAACGCGCGCTAAAACGCGCAGGCTTTTGTGAGGTCGGCCGCTCGTGCAGCCCTTGCTGGGGTCGCGGGGTGGGGGGGGGGGGTCCTTGAAAATGTATATATGTTGGTTTCTTACGGGATGGGGTATTTATTGGGGGGGGGGTGCGTCGGGTTATTTTTTTTTCTCTCTCGGTAGTGTTGTTGTTACTGTTGTTGTTGTTGTTCTTGTTGTTGCTGTTGTTGTTGGTTACGCGAGGCACACACGGGTTTGGGGGGGAATGCATTTTTATTGTGGATTTTGTTGCAGCCGGGACGGCTGCGGGCTGTACAGGGGTGGGTGATGTAGAGTTGTTACGGGAGGGCAAACAAACACACCAGGGGTGGTTATGCCCGCACGCGGAAGGATGCTTACATCCACGTCCGCATTGGTTAGCCTGGGGGGCTGAAACGGCGCTGTGATCCCCCACGGCCCCACCCCTTGAGGGGGGAGTTGCTATATAAGGCGTCGAGCCGGTGGGCTCGGTGTTCAGTGTTTAGCTTAAACCAGTGAAGAAGGAAGACCGGCTAGATAGGCCCTGGGACTCCCCTGGATCGCCGTCCTTCTCAGGACCGACCAGGGCAAGCCAGTGGCGTGGCCCCGAGAGCCCAGAGCCGATGTTCTTGTAAGAGCCGGTCTGGGAACTCAGGGTGCCGTAATCCCAGCTTGGCCAGAGCTGGATCAGCTAGCCTCCCCTAGCTGGAGTCTATAAACTGAGTTGCAGCTGTGGTGACTGTTACATTGGGGAAACGAAACGTCATGTCTCTGATCGTGTCCGCGAGCACAAGTCAGATTTGAAACACGGCAAAATTGAGTCTTCCGCCGTTGGCGATCATTGCGACAACGCGGTGGGCTCTCAGGAGATTGTTTTCTCCGAGACTAAGGTGCTCTGCAAACCCTCTGGCTACCATCAAAGGTTTGTACACGAAGCCACTTGATGCAGCAAATCTGGCTGTGACGGTCCCACCTGATGACAGAGACTTGTGTTGCCTCCGAAACGTCGTGATTTTATTGTTTAATTTTTATTAATTTCATTTTTTACCTACGTGACTTTACCGAAAAAACTAAGAGTATGAATCCTTGCAGTCACGAAAGCTTCAAATCTAGGGCCGATACCCCTTCGAGTGTTGTATACCTTGGCCTGTATAGAGTGGAACGGTTAATAAATAAGTGTGCCTCCGACTATGTCGTCCAAGTCTCTTTGAACCTACTACACGGGAGTGGTGAGGGTGGTGAGGGTGGAGAGGGTGGTGAAGGTGGTGATGGTGGAGAGGTGGTGAGGGTGGAGAGGTGGTGAGGATAGTGAGGGTGGTGAAGGTGGTGATGGTGGAGAGGTGGAGAGGTGGTGAGGGTGGTGAAGGTGGTGATGGTGGAGAGGTGGAGAGGTGATGAGGGTGGTTAGGGTGGTGAGGGTGGAGAGATGGTGAGGGTGGTGAGGGTGGTTAGAGTGGTGAGGGTGGTTAGGGTGGTGAGGGTGGAGAGATGGTGAGGGTGGTGAGGGTGGAGGGGTGGTGAGGGTAGAGAGGTCCAGTGGTGTGTGATAAACATCATCACGAGGGAGACAAAGGAGGCCTAGCAGGCCTGGTGCTGGCCACCCACCCACCCCCTTCGTCACACATCGTCACAAATGTCTGACCCCCCCCCCCCCCCCTAGGTGCGTGATGTGGACGGCCCTTCATAGGTGCTCACTAACAGCACTTGCCCCTACAGTCCGTTAGAGGCTACACGGGGTACCTTTGTCTTTGTGTTCCAGCCACGGTCGTAGCCGGGAGCGCGACCACCACCACCACCACGACCACCACCACCACCACCACCACGACCACCACCACCACCACGACCACCACCACCACCACGACCGGCATCGCAGCTCCAGCCGGGGCTCCAGCCGGGGCTCCAGCCGGGGCTACCGCAACTCAGCCATGGAGGCACAGGAGGCGCTGGCTCGCCGGTATTCTTCACCACTCACCAGTCACCACTCACTGCTCGCCACGCACCACTCACCAGTCACCACTCACCACTCACCGCTCGCCACGCACCGCTCGCCACGCACCGCTCACCACGCACCGCTCACCGCTCACCACTCACCACTCGCCACGCACAACTCACCACTCACCACTCACCGCTCGCCACGCACCGCTCACCACGCACCGCTCACCGCTCACCACTCACCACTCACCACTCGCCACGCACAACTCACCACTCACCACTCACCGCTCGCCACGCACCGCTCACCACGCACTGCTCACCGCTCACCACTCACCACTCGCCACGCACCGCTCACCACGCACCGCTCACCGCTCACCACTCACCACTCGCCACGCACAACTCACCACTCACCACTCACCGCTCGCCACGCACCACTCACCAGTCACCACTCACCGCTCACCACGCACAACTCACCGCTCGCCACGCACCGCTCGCCGATCACCACTCACCACTCACCGCTCGCCACGCACCGCTCGCCACGCACCGCTCACCAGTCACCACTCACCGCTCACCACGCACAACTCACCGCTCGCCACGCACCGCTCGCCACGCACCACTCACCAGTCACCACTCACCGCTCACCACGCACAACTCACCGCTCGCCACGCACCGATCACCGATCACCACTCGCCACTCACCGCTTGCCACTCACCACTCACCACGCACAACTCATCGCTCACCAATCACCACTCGTGTGTACGCGCGTGTGTGTGTGTGTACGCGCGTGTGTGTGTGTACGCGCGTGTGTGTGTGTACGCGCGCGTGTGTGTGTGTACGCGCGTGTGTGTGTGTACGCGCGTGTGTGTGTACGCGCGTGTGTGTGTGTGTGTGTGTACGCGCGTGTGTGTGTACGCGCGTGTGTGTGTACGCGTGTGTGTGTATACGTGTGTGTGTGTACGCGTGTGTGTGTGTGTACGTGTGTGTACGCGTGTGTGTGTACGCGTGTGTGTGTGTGTACGCGTGTGTGTGTGTGTACGCGTGTGTGTGTGTGTGTACGCGTGTGTGTGTGTACGTGTGTGTGTGTGTGTACGTGTGTGTGTGTTTTGTGTGTGTGTGTACGTGTGTGTGTGTACGCGTGTGTGTGTGTGTACACGTGTGTGTGTACGTGTGTGTGTGTTTTGTGTGTGTGTGTACGTGTGTGTGTGTACGCGTGTGTGTGTACGTGTGTGTGTGTTTTGTGTGTGTGTATACGTGTGTGTGTGTGTGTACGTGTGTGTGTGTTTTGTGTGTGTGTACGTGTGTGTGTGTTTTGTGTGTGTATGTGTGTCCGGAGTGGCAGTGTCGGAGTGAGCGCTACGCTGCGCTACCAGCCCGGCGACCCGAGTTCGATTCCCCCTCATGCCCAACCCCAGTGACGATTATTGGTCCTGGGCCTCCCCGAGGTCGACTCAGCCTCAAATGAGTACCTGGTGTGGTGTGTAAACATCGTCACTAGGGAAGACAAAGGCGGTCGGGCCTGGTGCTGGCCACCCACCGTCTTGCGTGCCGTATCGGCCTTCATAGGTGTTCGCTAACAGCACTTGCCCCTACAGTCTGTTGAGGCTACACGGGAGGTCCTGGGTTTGTTTGTGCGTGGGGAGCGGTGGTGTAGTGGTTAGCGCTACGCTGCGTTACAAACCTACCAAGCCGAGTTGCCTTCCCGTACACGGCCACCACCACCAGTGAAGATGATCTGAACCGGTCCTGGCCCTCGCCTAGGTCAACTCAGCCTCAAATGAGTACCTGGTGTGATGTGTAAACATCGCCACTGGGGAGACAAAGGCGGCCAGGCGTGGTGCTGGCCACCCACCCCCTCGTGTGCCGTTCCGGCCTTCATAGGTGCTACTCGCTAACAGCACTTGCCCCAACAGTCTGTTGAGGCTATACGGGGGATCTTTGTCTTTGAGTAAATGTGGTGACTCATTGCCCCCCGTCCACCAAGCCAGCATCAGGACTCAAGATCAGTGAAAACAAAACCGATTCTTTTTTCATTTTTACGTTACTCTATTTCATGGGTAGTCAGAGTTATGTTCAGCTTGGTGCGGTGTGTGCACATCGCCACTGGGGAGACACAGGCAGCAGCCGGGCGTGATGCTGACCACTCGCCCTTTTGTGCCTTTCCGGTCTTCAGATGTGGTGCTCGCTGAGAGCACGTGCCCCAGTAGTGTGTTAAGGCTGTTTTGTGTGTGTGTGTGCCTGTGTGTGTGCGTACACGTGTGTGTGTGTGTCTGTGTGTGTGTGTCTGTGTGCCTGTGTGTGCCTGTGTGCCTGTCTGTGTGCCTGTGTGAGGCTGTGTGTGTGCACGTGTGAGTGTGCCTGTGTGTGTACACGTGTATGTGTGTACACGTGTGTGTGTGTGCCTGTGTGTGTGTCTGTGTATGTGTGTGCCTGTGTGTGCCTGTGTGTGTACACGTGTGTGTGTGCCTGTGTGTGTACACGTGTGTGTGTGTCTGTGTGTGTACACGTGTGTGTCTGTGTGTGTGTCTGTGTGTGTCTGTGTGTGCCTGTGTGTGCCTGTGTGTGCCTGTGTGTGTACACGTGTGTGTGTGCCTGTGTGTGTCTGTGTGTCTGTGTGTGCCTGTGTGTGTACACGTGTGTGCCTGTGTGTGTCTGTGTGCCTGTGTGTGTACACGTGTGTGTACACGTGTGTGTGTGCCTGTGTGTGTACACGTGTGTGTGTGCCTGTGTGTGTGTACACGTGTGTGTGTACACGTGTGTGTGTGCCTGTGTGTGTACACGTGTGTGTGTGTGTCTGTGTGTGTACACGTGTGTGTGTACACTGTGTATGTGTGTGTGTGCCTGTGGGAGGCTGTGTGTGTACACGTGTGTGTGTGTATGTGTGTGTGTAAACGTGTGTGCCTGTGTGTGCCTGTGTGTGTCTGTGTGAGGCTGTGTGTGCCTGTGTGTGCGTGTGTGTGTTCACTGTGTGTGTGTGTGCGTGTGTGTGTGTGTATGCCTGTGTGTGCGTGTGTGTGTTCACTGTGTGTGTGTGCGTGTGTGTGTTCACTGTGTGTGTGTGTTCACTGTGCGTGTGCGTGTGTGTGTGTGTGTCTGTGTGAGGCTGTGTGTGCCTGTGTGTACACGTGTGTGTGTTCACTGTGTGTGTGTGTGCCTGTGTGTGTGTGCGTGTGTGTGTGTGCCTGTGTGTGTGTGTGTGTTCACTGTGTGTGTGTGTGCGTGTGTGCCTGTGTGTGCCTGTGTGTGCCTGTGTGTGTGTGTGTATGTGTGTGTGTATGTGTGTGTTTGTAAACGTGTGTGTGTGTGTGTGTGTCTGTGTGTGTACACCTGTGTGTGTACACTGTGTGTGTGTGTACACTGTGTATGTGTGTCTGTGTGTGCCTGTGTGAGGCTGTGTGTGTACACGTGTGTGTGTGTGCCTGTGTGAGGCTGTGTGTGTACACGTGTGTGTGTGTGTATGTGTGTGTGTAAACGTGTGTGCCTGTGTGTGCGTGTGTGTGTTCACTGTGTGTGTTCACTGTGTGTGTGTGTGTGCGTGTGTGTGTGTGTGCCTGTGTGTGCGTGTGTGTGTTCACTGTGTGTGTGCGTGTGTGTATGTGTACCTGTGTGTGTGCCTGTGTGTATGTGTACCTGTGTGTGTCTGTGTGCGTGTGTGTGTGCGTGTGTGTGTGTGTGCCTGTGTGTGCGTGTGTGTGTTCACTGTGTGTGTGTGTGCGTGTGTGTATGTGTACCTGTGTGTGTGTGTACCTGTGTGTGTCTGTGTGCGTGTGTGTGTGTGTTCACTGTGTGTGTGCGTGTGTGAGGCTGGAGCGAGCCAAGAAGATCCAGGAGCAGCGGGAGAAGGAGGCGAGGAAGCAGCAGCTGAAGGAGGCAGCCGGTGAGAGCAGCGCTGCTCACCACTCACCACCACTCACCACCGCTCACCACCACTTCACCATCGCTCACCACCGCTCACCACCGCTCACCACTTCACCATCGCTCACCACCGCTCACCACCGCTCACCACTTCACCACCGCTCACCACTTCACCACCGCTCACCACCGCTCACCACTTCACCACCGCTCACCACCGCTCACCACTTCACCACCGCTCACCACCGCTCACCACTTCACCACCGCTCACCACTTCACCACCGCTCACCACTTCACCACCGCTCACCACCGCTCACCACTTCACCATCGCTCACCACCGCTCACCACCGCTCACCACTTCACCACCGCTCACCACTTCACCACCGCTCACCACTTCACCACCGCTCACCACCACTCACCACCGCTCACCACCACTTCACCACCGCTCACCACCGCTCACCACCGCTCACCACTTCACCATCGCTCACCACCGCTCACCACCGCTCACCACTTCACCACCGCTCACCACTTCACCACCGCTCACCACCACTCACCACCGCTCACCACCGCTCACCACTTCACCACCACTCACCACCGCTCACCACTTCACCACCACTCACCACCGCTCACCACCGCTCACCACTTCACCACCACTCACCACCGCTCACCACTTCACCACCACTCACCACCGCTCACCACCGCTCACCACTCACCACCGCTCACCACTCACCACCGCTCACCACCACTCACCACCGCTCACCACCACCGCTCACCACCGCTCACCACCACCGCTCACCACCGCTCACCACTCACCACCGCTCACCACTCACCACCGCTCACCACCACTCACCACCGCTCACCACCACCGCTCACCACCGCTCACCACCACCACCACCGCTCACCACCTCACCACCGCTCACCACCGCTCACCACCACCACCGCTCACCACCACTCACCACCGCTCACCACCACCGCTCACCACCGCTCACCACCACCACCACCGCTCACCACCTCACCACCGCTCACCACCACCACCGCTCACCACCACTCACCACCGCTCACCACCACCGCTCACCACCGCTCACCACCACCACCACCGCTCACCACCTCACCACCGCTCACCACCGCTCACCACCACCACCGCTCACCACCGCTCACCACCGCTCACCACCACCACCACCGCTCACCACCTCACCACCGCTCACCACCGCTCACCACCACCACCGCTCACCACCGCTCACCACCGCTCACCACCACTTCACCATCGCTCACCACCGCTCACCACCGCTCACCACCACCACCGCTCACCACCGCTCACCACCGCTCACCACCGCTCACCACCGCTCACCACCACCATCGCTCACCACCGCTCACCACCGCTCACCACCACTTCACCATCGCTCACCACCGCTCACCACCACCACCGCTCACCACCGCTCACCACCACCACCGCTCACCACCACTTCACCATCGCTCACCACCGCTCACCACCACCATCGCTCACCACCGCTCACCACCACCACCGCTCACCACCGCTCACCACCACTTCACCATCGCTCACCACCGCTCACCACCGCTCACCATCGCTCACCATCGCTCACCATCTCTCACCACCACCACCGGTCACCACCGCTCACCACCACTTCACCATCTCTCACCACCACCACCGGTCACCACCGCTCACCACCGCTCACCACTTCACCACCGCTCACCACTTCACCACCGCTCACCACTTCACCACCGCTCACCACCACACCACCGCTCACCACCGCTCACCACTGCTCACCACCGCTTCACCATCGCTCACCACCACTCACCACCTCACCATCTCTCACCACCGCTCACCACCACCACCGCTCACCACCGCTCACCACTCACCACCACTCACCACCACTCACCACCGCTCACCATCGCTCACCACTCACCACTACTCACCACCGCTCACCACCGCTCACCACCACTCACCACCACTCACCACCACTCACCATCGCTCACCACTCACCACCACTCACCACCGCTCACCACCGCTCACCACCACCACCACCACCACTCACCACCGCTCACCATCGCTCACCACTCACCACCACTCACCACCGCTCACCACCGCTCACCACCACCACCACTCACCACCACAGACAAAGGTCCCCCATGTAGCCTCTAACAGACTGTAGGGGCAAGTGTGGTTCGCGAGCACCTATGAAGGCCGGCACTCTGACACATGCCAGGCCGCCTTTGTCTCCCCAGTGGCGATGTTCACTACACACCGCTACACCGGGTATTCATTTGAGGCTTAGTCGACCTAAGGGAGGTCCAGGTCCGATTCAGTTAATCACCACCGGTGTTGTTACCGTCCCACCACCGTCACCACCCCCACCATCACCACCGTCACCACCCTCACCGTCACCACCATCACCACCCCCACCGCCACCGTCACCACCCCCACCGTCACCACCCTCACCGTCACCACCCTCACCGTCACCACCATCATCGTCACCACCCTCACCGTCACCACCATCACCGTCACCACCCTCACCGTCACCACCCTCACCGTCACCACCCTCACCGTCACCACCCTCACCGTCACCACCCTCACCGTCACCACCCTCACCGTCACCACCCTCACCGTCACCGTCACCACCCTCACCGTCACCACCCTCACCGTCACCACCCTCACCGTCACCACCCTCACCGTGACCGCCCTCACCGTTACCACCCTCACCGTCACCACCCTCACCATCACCGTCACCGTCACCACCCTCACCGTCACCACCCCCACCGTCACCACCCCCACCGTCACCACCCTCAACGTCACCACCCTCACCGTCACCACCATCATCACCCTCACCGTCACCACCCTCACCGTCACCACCCTCACCGTCACCACCCTCACCGTCACCACCCTCACCGTCACCACCCCCACCGTCACCACCCCCACCGTCACCACCCTCACCACCCCCACCGTCACCACCCTCACCATCACCGTCACCACCCTCACCATCACCGCCCTCACCGTCACCACCCCCACCGTCACCACCCCCACCGTCACCACCCTCACCACCCCCACCTTCACCACCCTCACCATCACTGTCACCACCCTCACCGTCACCACCCTCACCGTCACCACCCCCACCGTCACCACCCCCACCGTCACCACCCTCACCACCCCCACCGTCACCACCCTCACCATCACCGTCACCACCCCCACCGTCACCGCCCTCACCGTCACCACCCTCACCGTCACCACCCTCACCGTCACCGCCCTCACCGTGACCGCCCCGCTGTGCCCCCCACCCAGTGCTAGCGGCAGCATCGGCGGCGTTGCTGGGCGCCGACTCGGCATCGCCGATGGACCCCCGGATCACCGTGGCAACCCTGCGGGCGCTCGCCGGGTCCCTGGCCGGCGCCGGATCAGTGGGCGGCGCCACCACCTCCACCTCGTCGTCGTCAGCGTCGTTGTGAAGGGGGAGGGAGGGGGGAGGAGGGGGAGCAGCAGCATGGGGGAGGGAGGGGGAGAGGAGCAGTGGCAATGTGACGTCTCATACAGAACCCTTGTGTCATCTCATCGTGTGAGTCAATAGAACTCTGTGGGAGTCTGTGGGTAAGCATCTGTAGCCCCAGAGGTCGCCACCGAGGTTACCCAAAGGTCGCCCCTGAGGTTGCCCCGAGGTCACCCAGAGGTCACCCCCTAGATTACCCAGAGGTTTTCCTGAGGTGTTCCCGAGGTCACCCCGAGGTCGCCCAGAGGTCACCCAGAGGTCACCCTGAGGTCGCCCTGAGGTCACCCCCAAGGTCGCCCAGAGTTCACCCCGAGGTCACCACGAGGTTGCCCTGAGGTCATCCTGAGGTTACCCCCAAGGTCGCCCTGAGGTCGCCCTGAGGTCATCCTGAGGTCATCCTGAGGTCACCCTCAAGGTCGCCTCTGAGGCCACGCCGAGGTCGCCCAGAGGTCACCCGACGCGCCGAGGCCGCCCTGCAGCCAGCTGTGACGAGATGTTGACTACCTCGCCTGGTCTGCAGGAGGTCGTGGGTTCGATCCCGACCCTGACGATGCCTGCTGCTGTATATTTGGAGTCTACGTCTCTCTCTCATCATCACCACGGTGACTAGGAGATGTTAACTACCTCGCCTGGTGCGCAGGAGGTCGTGGTTTCGATCCCGACCCTGACGATGCCAGCTTCTGTATGTTTGGAGTCTGCGTCTCTCCCATCATCATCATCACGGTGGCTAGGAGATGTTCACTACTTCTGCGTCTCCCCGTGGTGGTCACTGCGTGGATTGTTCTCCGAGTTCCTCTGGTTTTCTCCCTCCACGTTTGGAACCAACATCACCACGTGTTCTTGGTTCTTTCGGTAAAATCACGTAGAATGGAAATAATAAAATAATAAAAATAAAACATAAAACAATTCTCACGACGTTTCGGCCACAACGCAAGCAGCCGTCCTCAGGTGGAGAGCAGGTCTGTTGAGAAGACGGAGTCTGAATGACACACCCCAGGCTTGGAGCGTCTATTTAAGCTGGGTTAGAGGGGGAAGAGCGCCTTGACAAAAGAATTTGCATATCAAGAGGAATTTACGTGTTTCGAGTGTTTGCCTCCTGCTATAGATTCCCTACCAACGACGACGACGACGAAGACCAGCGGTTGAGCTGCTGTCAGTCGTGATGGCCAAGAGCTCAACGGGGCCTTACCTGGTTGTAGTAGAAGTGTTAGTTTTCCCTCCACACTTACACATCACGCCTATAGAGTCATTTGGCTGAGGCTGATATAAATTTCCCACGTGATCATCATGATGATGATAATCTATTATTTCTGACTAGACTAGTATTCATCATAGAAAGATTGATAAAGTTGTGCGCTTACCAACGTCATGGGACGTCTCTCCCTGTGACTTGTGACGGCGTCTGCGGGGAGGACGGCAAAGTGGTGTCGGTGGGGACCAACTCGATCCCGGGAGTCGACACCGAACCGCCTGGTTCTCTCTCTCTCGAGCGATCATCATATTCATCACAGACAGACAGAGAAAGTTGTTTATGTATCATTATAATTTTACATCTGGAAGACTTAATTGAAAGCGACATTTCGTGTTAATTTTCTCTCGTCGCTAAGTAGATGTCCTTGCTGGGGGTTCGTTCGACGCGAACTTTCACCCGGTTGGGATTGCGGGGTCGAGATGGGGCGACACGGAGCCGCTGGCCGTGCGAGGAGACCGCCGCCGTCTGCAGGTCGATTCGCACGTCATCGAGCGTCTGCCCTCGCACCTCCGTCGTGCATGCAACGACGGAGGTGCGGCGTTCACGATGTTCATCGCGGATAAAGTTGGGCGTTTATATCGTTATTCAGTGGGCCGCCTGGTTCTGGTCAATACCACTGGTCAACACTTTTTCTGGCATAAACTATTCCAATGTTTTTTTTTTTGGGGTGCTGATTCCAAATCTGGCATCAGTTTTTGTCTATCACATCAGGTTTTTGAGATATCAAATATTGCATTTTCAATAAAAACTGCAGAAGAAAAATATTAAATAAATGTGGGTATCTACATAAAATTATATTATAAACACACTATCCTAAAAATACAGCACCATATTTTAACACTAAAGCAGTCGCTGACTCGCAACAACTTGCAATCATAAGTGACAGAGTTAATTTCGGGTAAAATCAATGAAAACGGGGTATGCCGATAGCATAAAAATGAGATGTGATAGAGCAAATCTGAGATCAGATTTGGAATCGGCACCCTGAAATTAGTCTAGAACAGCTGCAAAAGTCCAGACCATAAAAAAATGTTTTTTCTTTGTTGACCAGTGTAATAGATACCGTAGTTTAGAAGTTAGCAAGTCACACTTAATTGGGTTGGGTTTTTGACCACTTTCGTGAGGGTGCATTGGTGTTTTCCCGGTTCCTGCCCCTTTCGTCACAAGCCCGCGGGCCCGGCACCGACTGTGCAGCAGCCGCAGCAGCAGCAGCAGCGGCAGCGGCGGCGTCGAAGGCGAGTTGGTGGGTCACCGCACAGATGGGGTCGTGAAACTCTCTCCTCGCTCTGCAGCGCTCGCTCGTGGGCAGGTTGCCACCCATTGTCAGACAGCAGTAGAGAGAGACTGGGGCCCTCTGAGCACGGGGCTGCCTGGCGCCATCTGTTCAGTTAATAAACCCGTTGCGTGAAGACACTCTGTGTGTTTGTCTGTGTCTGTGTGTGTCTTGTCTGTGTCTGTGTGTGTTTTGTCTGTCTGTGTCTGTGTGTTGGGTATTTTGTACCATTGGACACTCCACCCCCACAACTCCCAATCGGTGATGGGGCAGTTGTGGAGAGAGTGGAGAGTTTCCCATACCTGGGCAGTGTGCTTATGACCGGCTCCAGTTTAACAGCAGAGGTCTCACTCCGAATCAGTCGAGCGGCAATATCTTTTCATCGGTTGCGTAACGCTGTGTGGAAGCTACCTGGTCTGTCGCTCCGCACGAAGCTTCAGGTCTTCTCGGCCACGGTCATTCCCTCCCTTCTCTACGCTTGCGAAACGTGGACCCCCCTAATGGAGCATCTTCGCCGGTTGGAAACATTTAGGCTGGCCTGCCTACGATCCATCCTGGGTTTAACCAGGCTGGATTGTGTGAGGAGCTCACAAATCCTTGAAAGATCTGGGCAAAGTCCCATCGGTGAGCTCCGGCAGGCAAGGCTGCGTTGGCTGGGTCATGTAGCCCGCATGCCCAGCCACCGCATGCCTAAACAGCTTTTGTTCAGCCGGATCGAGGGGGCTAAACGGGCGCGGCACGGGCTAGAGAAGAGATGGAGTGATGTGGTACAGGAGGACGTGGAGCTGAGTGGACTTGCCGATGACCGGTACCAGCGGTGTCAAGATCGGCCTCTGTGGAAGAGGCTCGTGAAGGACGCTACTGGGCAGTTGGAGGCAGTCGCCCTCCAACAACAACGGAGGGCGGAGGAGCGACGCTCACAACGAGCGGAGCGCCGGGTGGCTAAAGCACAGCAAGTTGGTACAGTAGGGGGCACAGGTGGTGCATCAGCCAGTCATCTCGGTCAGTCGACCCGTGGCACTTGGGTCTGCCCCGTGACCTGCCAGCGGGCGTTCGACACTTCACGTGGCCTCAAGGTGCACTTGGCCTGGCACAAGTGTCGTGGTGACGTCACCGCCACTTAGTGGCGAATGGCGGTTGTGTTGGCGTGGTGCTGGCCACCCACCTCGTTTACCACAGTACCAGCCGCCATAGGTACTGCTGCTACTCTCCACTCACAGCACTTGCCTCTACAGTCGGTTAGAGGCTACACGGGGACCTTTGTCTTTGTGTGGGGAACGGTGGTGCTGTTATTGCTCCGTGGATCTGTGGTGTACAAACAACAACAACAATAATCGCACGTGATGGTTTTAATGTTTAAGTATTGTTACTGTTTAATGTCGCACCCTGTCAGAATGAAGTAATCACGGACTCTCACAGCAAGTGAGCGTAGCAACACCACGGCAGTAGCATCCACACCACTTGACACAGCAGGTCATCATCATAGCGTAGTGTATAGTAGTGTAGTGTATAGAACAGGAGTCCTCAAACTACGGCCCGCGGGCCACATGCGTCCCACGAGGACATTTATCCGGCCCATGGTCACTAATTGGGCTGCGCTTGTGAGCACTAATTGAACACTGATTGAGCTGCGGCGGTGGGCACTCATTGGGCTGCGCTGGTGAATGGTTCAATGGGCTAATTGACTGGACTTGCCCCCCAGGCCTAAGGCTGCCAGCCCTCCCCTGGCTGCGCTTGACTGGCTCTCCCTCCCTCAGCTCCCTCACTTGCCCCTCGGCTCCACTCCCAGTGATATTCCTGTGTGCTGAGTAAATGATAGAGGGGTAATAACAGAGTGATCTCTGATCTCTGGAGGGGCTGCCTGCTGTTTTCCCGTGCTGGTCAGTGACAGACAGCCGAGGAGTAGGAAACCCAATTTAAATGACAGTAAGTGCATTTATATTCTGATTGTTATTCAGTTGTATGAGGTTATATGTTGTATGTTGTGTAAGCCCCGGTTCATACTGTTGCGATCACTGAGCAGTGCGAGTTCAGCCATATGCTTGTATGGCTGAACTTGCATTAGATTCGGAAGAAAAAAGGCACATGTGCCTTCTTTTTTCCTGCAGTTGAATCGGATCGCATGGGTCTTCTCCCCCATGCGATCAGATTCCTATGCGAGTTCGCAGATCGCACTGCGATCTGTGAACAAGACTGCAGGTGTCATTAACTTTTAATGGCACCCGCACCAGTGTGAGCCTGGGGTAAAAGCAGAGTTCCCCCAAACAGACTGCATTGATGGGCAGTGCAGTCTGTATGTCTCTGTGTGGGCAAAGTTATTGCTGGTATATTGTTTTTGTAGCGCTGTATATATATTGGTATTTTACTAATAGCAATTTTGACTCCCTAGGAAACAATGATGTCAAGAAAGAGAAAAATTGACTCGGAGTGTAGGATATTCAAAGAACAGTGGACTTATGATTACTTTTTCATGCAGTACAAGGAAAGAGCTGTGTGTCTGATATGCCAGAATATAGTGTCTGTGTTCAAAGAATACAATTTACGTCGACACTATGAAACTCAACATAAAGATAAATATGATTGTTTGGCCGGAGAAGTGAGAAAAGATAAAATATTAAAACTGAAAAATACATTAACAACTCAGCAAAATACTTTTGTGAAGCAGAAGCAGCTAAATATTTCATCACTGCGAGCAAGTTTTCAAGTTGCCAAGCTAATAGCGTGCACTGGCAGACCATTCGTGGAGGGAGAATTTGTTAAAGAATGCCTTCTTTCTGTTGCCAAAGAGATGTGTCCAGAGAAGGCCGATTTGTTTAGTACAGTGAGTCTTTCAGGACCTACAATTACACGGAGGATTGAAGAAATGGGAGACAATTTGCATCAGCATTTGCAAAACTCCACAAAAAAACTTTCCTATTTTTCCTTGGCACTCGACGAAAGCAATGATGTTCGTGATTCTGCACAACTTCAAATTTTTATTCGTGGGACGAATGACTTTCGAAGTCACAGAAGAGCTTGCTGCACTGCAAAGCATCAAAGGAACAACTACAGGAGAGGATATCTATGAAAAGGTTTGCCAAACTGTGAATGGTTTGGAGCTGAACTGGGCTAAACTAGCCAGCTGTGACAACTGATGGTGCTCCTAGCATGGTGGGGTCTAAGAAAGGAGTAATTGCTCGCATTAACCAAGAGATGGACAAACATAACCATTCTCATCCAATAGCCATACACTGCAGGGATTCATCTTCTTGGTTCTTTCGGTAAAGTCACGGAGAATGGAAATAACAAAATAATAAAACATAAAGTAATTCTCACGACGTTTCGGCCCACAACGCAAGCAGCTGTCCCCGACAGACCTGGTCTTCACCTGAGGAGGGCTGCTTGCGTTGTGGCCGAAACGTCGTGAGAATTATTTTATTATGTTTTATTTTATTATTTCCATTCTACGTGACTTTACCGAAAGAACCAAGAAGATGAACCACAGAGAACGTCTGAAGGATTTGGTTGCGTTGGCTGTAGTCGGTCTCCTTGGTGTCTTCCTCAGAGGCCGGTGCTGGTGCGTAGGTGCCCGATGATGGTTCCGTATTGGTCTTTTGCGAGCGTCATGTTGATGATCGTGTTGTCGACTGCTAAACCCACGTCATGCAGGTGTGGGCCGTGTGCTGCATTACCCAGGAGAAGGTGCAGCCTCTGCTTGGCTCCGTCAGTTGCCCCTCGTCAGCCAGACGGGTGGTGTCGCTGAGGGCGGCAATATGGATGTTAAATCGTCCCTGGCTGGCGTGCCACACACAGTAGCTGCGCTGCGCTCTGGACGGTGCGAGTTTGGGTTGTCTGCGAGGGCCCTGACATTCCAGGATCCAGCGTTTAGGTGATACTACTTCTTGTTTCGACCGCAAGTATTGATGCTCCCTCTGAGTCGCAGTTAAGCCAGACAGGATGTTTACACCATGGGAACCTCATTTGACAGTAAAAATATGATAATTGGTTTTTTACCCTTCTATCTGGCAACAAAACTGACACCTTTTTACAAGGAGTCATGTTTGCATAGACCGCAATACCTGCCTTTTGGCGTCATCTGGTCCAACCCATGTGAGACTAGGCTCTAAGGAAAGCTGTCTCGGGTGTGGACCAATCAACTTCAAGGACAGTGCACATTATCAGAGTTATGTCTTTTGTTTGTATTATGACTGCAGGTATTGTGGTCTATGCAAACATGACTCCTTGTAAAAAGGTGTCAGTTTTGTTGCCAGATAGAAGGGTAAAAAAACCAATTATCAGACAGGATGTTGCTAGAGGCAGACGATGTTTAGGGCACCTTTCCTAGCCCGCGTCCCCCGTTTGGGGTGAGCAGAGTGGATCCTTGTGGGCTGTTGAGTCGCAGCTGCAGCTGCCTCATCCGAGTGCGTGACGACGACGTCCTGATAGCCGCCACCACCTTGGTGCTGGGCGGTGACTCGAGCGTCTCGCTGCATGGGCTGCTCCGCTCGCCACCGCCAGCCGCACAAGGACTCTGGGTGGGCAGCGCGGTGGTGAGACGGCTCGGCTCCTGAAGCGTGCCGGGCCGCGATGGGATCTGCGTGCCGTATCCGTGCACAGCAGGCTACCGCACGGGGCTGAGCCACGAGCCCAGCCTGGGTCCAGTGGCAAGGCAGGGAGCCGAGACGATGAGAAGGGGCTTGTCCTGCAGCGCCGGACATCCTCCGCCATGTGCTGTTGGCCATCAGGACCACAGCTCGCACGTCCCATGGGCCGTTGGCCACATGGTGTCCACCCGGGATTGTGTCCGGGTTGACTCCCCTAGTCTAAGAGACTCACCGTAGCCCCGTTGACCACCTGGTGTCCACCCAGGATCTTGTCCGGGTTGACTCCCCCAGCCTAAGAGACTCACCGGAGCCCCGTTGGCCACCTGGTGTCCACCCGGGATCTTGTCCGGGTTGACTCCCCCAGTCTAATCGACTCACCGTAGCCCCGTTGGCCACGTAGTGTCCACCCGGGATTGTGTCCACCCAGGATTGTGTCCGGGTTGACTCCCCCAGCCTAAGTGGCTCACCGGAGCCCCGTTGACCACGTGGTGTCCAGGTGAGTCCAGGTGAGTCCAGGTGAGTCCAGCTGAGTCCAGGTGAGTCCAGCTGAGTCCAGGTGAGTCCAGGTGAGTCCAGCTGAGTCCAGCTGAGTCCAGGTGAGTCCAGGTGAGTCCAGCTGAGTCCAGGTGAGTCCAGCTGAGTCCAGGTGAGTCCAGGTGAGTCCAGCTGAGTCCAGGTGAGTCCAGGTGAGTCCAGCTCAGTCCAGGCCTTCACGGCTATTGGTCGGACCGCCCACCATACTTCGCCCTGTCTGGCACTCCTGTGTTGTACCTGTTACCACCTCCCGCGACACGGACGAGGGCTTGGTTTGGGGCCGTCCATAAATGACGTCACGCGATTTTGGACGATTTTTGACCCCCCCCCCCCCTCGTCACACGGCGTCACGAAAAGTCAGACCCCCCCCCCTCAAATATGACGTCACAAAGCTCTGCCCCCCCCAAAACCATATTTCCATTTTGAAAATGAAACACGCTTCAAATCGCTTTAAACTATTGTTGTCATTGTGGTGCGTGTTTAATGTGGCGCTGCACTCTGATGTTGTAGGAGAACACATTTATTAAACAGGAGGCGTTGGAAAGCTTAAATGTAGCATAACATTCACTTGAACATATTCAACGTCTTACTAAAACTGCAGATGTTCAGAATATTATATTGGAATTATATTATAATTATAAAATATTAAAAGTAATTATAACTATTAAAAAATACTTGAAACGTTGTAGTAGAACGAAGCAAAATGGAGAGTACAGTTATAACACTCGTATATACATTGCACAGAATGAAAAGCCCTGGCAGAATCATTAGAATCAAAACGTTTAATAAAAAATTAAAAATGTATGCTTCTCCATTCTCCCATGAAGCAAAAAGCTTCTTCATGGAATAAATAAAAGGTGACCTCAGTAAATTGAAATAATCAAATTGTTCATAATGAAAATTAATCAAAATTAGTGTTATAACAATTCTATATTTATCTTCTTGGTTCTTTCGGTAAAGTCACGTAGAAGGAAAGTAATAAAATAATAAAAATAAAACATAATAAAATAATATATATTTTAATAATATATATTTTATTATGTTTAATTTTTTTTATTTTAATAATATATATTTTAATAATATATATTTTATTATGTTTTATTTTTATTATTTTATTACTTTCCTTCTACGTGACTTTACCGAAAGAACCAAGAAGATGAATCCCTGCAGTCACGAAAGCTTTAAATCGCAAAAAAAATTCTATATTTATTTAAAGTTGGGCATTTGGATGTGACGTCACATTTCTCACCCCCCCCTCTCGTCACACATCGTCACAAATATCTGACCCCCCCCCCCTCTAGGTGCGTGACGTCATTTATGGACGGCCCTTTCACGCACGCTCCAGACGCAAACCACGCGCGCGTGGTGACGTCACCTGTCAGGCCCCGCCCCTTGTACTAGCCCCTCCCCCTTAAATATCAACCCTCCCCCTCATCACAGCCCCTCCTCCCTTAAATAGCGGCCCCGCCCCTCGTCACAGCCCCTCCCCCTAATGGTGGCCCCGCCCCTCGTCACAGCCCCTCCCCCTAATGGTGGCCCCGCCCCTCGTCACAGCCCCTCCCCCTAATGGTGGCCCCGCCCCTCGTCACAGCTCATCCCCCCTTAAATAGCAGCCCCGCCCCTCATCACAGCCCCTCCCCCTAACGGTGGCCCCGCCCCTCATCACAGCCCCTCCCCCTAATGGTGGCCCCGCCCCTCATCACAGCCCCTCCCCCTTAAATGGTGGCCACGCCCCTCGTCACAGTCCCTCCCCCTAATGGTGGCCCCGCCCCTCCCCCTTAAATAGCGGCCCCGCCCCTCACCTCCGTCTCTTTCTCACTCCGCCGACGATGGCGGCGGCGTCGTCTTCTACAGCTTTCCGCCGCCGCTCCCCTCGTCGTCACCATCCGCCGCCATCCTCGCCGCCCGCGCGGCCGAGCGAGGCGGGTGGCGGCGCGGCGCGACGGGGAGAGTCCTGCGCGGCGCGATGGAGCCTCTCGGCCGCGCTGGGGAGACTCCCGCGAGGCGGGAGGAGGCGGCGGCGGCGGGAAGAGGCGCGCGGCCGGGAGCGCTGAGGAGGACGGCGGCCATCGCCTCCGCGGTGAGGAGGGATCGGCGGTGTTCGATGGCTCCGATGTTGCTCCGGACGCTGTGGGGAGCGCCGTCTAACGATGAATAAACTTCGCAGATTGTACCTCGCGAAGTAAAGGGCTGTTACAGCAGGGGAGACCCGCGTCAGCGCTTTGCGCCATGTGCTCATGAGGAAGGCCCATGCACCGAAACGTCGCCTTTTGTGCGCGTGCTGTTTTCTTGCATCTTATTTGAGTTGCGATTTAATAGAATTTAAAGTTTTCTTCTCGTAAATCTGTTCAGAATTTCCCTGCCGCCTCAGATTATTTTGGCGGGAAATGTTTTCTTCATAATTGCCGCGTCTTTTAACGGCTTGTTTACTATATTAGCTTCATACGATTCTCCATCGAAGTCTCGGTGATTTGCGACGCGAGTTTGCTTTGTGACTATTTTAAGAAACCCATTGCCAATATTAACCGCATCGATTAACGTGGAGGTTAAAGTAATGCTACTACGGGCGCCGGCGTGCTATGAACCAGGCCTATTGCCCGAAACGTCGTCTTATTACATAGTGTGTACACCGTGTGTTTAATGCTGAGTTCCATCCCGACCCTGACGATGCCTGCTGCTGCTGCATATTTCGAGTCTGCGTCTCTCATCACATTGGCTAGGTGATATTCTTTGGTTCTTTCGGTAAAGTCACGTATAAAGATAAAATAATAAATTCAATAATAGCATACGACGTTTCGATTGCTTGTGTTGCAAGAATAATTCCTGCAGTCACGAAAGCTCCAAAATTAAGATTGGCTATGAGATGTTAACTACCTCGCCTGGTACACAGGAGGTCGTGGGTTCCATCCCGACCCTGACGATGCCTGATGCTGCTGCTGATGCTGCTGCTGCTGTATATTTAGTCTGCGTCTCCGATGTGTTTTCCCCTCCACGTGTAGTCAACATCACGCGTTTTTAAGAGTTGTTTGTTTGCTGCTCCACATTTCCACGAGGCGACGATGACGACGATCGCCGCCACTTGGTTGAGCGATCACTTGTGATGCCCAGGTCCGCTTGTGGAAATTGGCTGCATAGGAGCTCCGCGAGGCCTTACAGCTGGTTACATACCAAAACTATTTGAAGTAAAAATAAAAACCACTATTATTATTATTTAAACTGCATCATGCGTCCACACGCGCACGGTCTTGTCATTTGACACGGATCGTGTCGAGAGGTTCGTTGCCCGAAACGTCGTCGTTGTCGCAAGACCACGTGGTCTTGCGTTGCTATTTATAATTTTAATATTTCGTGAGTTTTAATTAATTAGTGTGAGCCGTGGATACCTCGTGTGGCCTTCCCGACCCCGTGCCCCCCCCCCCCCGTACGGGACACGTCGGTGAAAGAGTTTCGTGGCTTATCGGGTTTCTCCCAGGATGCGACGATAGCAGATTGGGAACGAACGCGGCGACCTTTTTAGGGTCCGTGTCGAGTAGCCGTAGCATCACGATGGACGATAGAGACGATGTTTCGAGCAGTGACCCTTCTACAGAAGCGCACATCCATCTCATGAATTATGGAAGGGGCCTTGTGCCATTTCAAGGCCTTAATCCAGCGGTGGATTGACCGTTCTCAGTCGCCGTGTTTTTGTTTCGCCTGCTTAAAATTCAAATCGTTAGGCTGTCGATATTTTTTGTGATGTGTTTATTCTACCAGCTAGGGGGCCCCTGGGCTGCTGTAGCCTTCGCAATGTAACGGGCAGCTCCACACACTGGTGGTGGTTCGTCATCGCGCGCAAAGTTGTCGTGGCCAAATAACTATGAACGCGATGTCGATTCGAAATGTGGAGGCTGAAAATCCGCGCGTGAGACACCGCAAACTCCAAATATGCAGCAGCAGGCATCGTCAGGGCCGGGGATCGAACCCACGAGCTCCTGTAGACCAGGCGAGGTGGTTAACATCTCCTACGCACCGTGATCAGGGAGACCCCAAATATAGAGCAATAGGCATCGTCAGGGTCGAGATCGAATCTACGACCTCCTGTAGACCAGGCGAGGTGGTTAACATCTCCTACGCACCGTGATCAGGGAGACCCCAAATATAGAGCAATAGGCATCGTCAGGGTCGAGATCGAATCTACGACCTCCTGTAGACCAGGTGAGGTAGTTAACATCTAGCCACCGTGATCGGGGAGACTCCAAATATAGAGCAATAGGCATCGTCAGGGTCGGGATCAAATCTACGAGCTCCTGTAGACCAGGCGAGGTGGTTAACATCTCCTACGCACCGTGATCAGGGAGACCCCAAATATAGAGCAATAGGCATCGTCAGGGTCTGGATCGAACCCACAACCTCCTGTAGACCAGGCGAGGTGGTTAACATCTCCTACGCACCGTGATCAGGGAGACCCCAAATATAGAGCAATAGGCATCGTCAGGGTCGGGATCAAATCTACGACCTCCTGTAGACCAGTTCCCGGAGAGGGGAGTCCCCGGCCGTGCTCGCTCTGCTGCTGGATGATTGTCCCCCCCCCCCAGTGTCGTGTAGGGGGTGGTGCTAGTTTAGCTCCCTCACGGCCACCGCCCCGTGCTGCTGCTGCTCCTCCTCCGCTCGCGTCGAGTGATGAGAACACGTGACCAGTTCTGCTACCGAGTGACAGTGACGACGCTCAGCTCTGACGACGTCGAGGAGGAGGAGGATGGGCAGGAGGAGGATGGGAGTGAGGTGCCGTGAGGCCCAAGAGAAGAGTGGGGGGGGGGGGGGGGGTGTGAGTCGTGAGTGTTAGGCGGTGTGGGTCGTGAGTGTTAGGCGGTGTGGGTGGCGAGTGTTAGGCGGTGTGGGTGGCGAGTGTTAGGCGGTGTGGGTGGCGAGTGTTAGGCGGTGTGGGTGGCGAGTGTTAGGCGGTGTGGGTCGTGAGTGTTAGGCAGTGTGGGTGGCGAGTGTTAGGCGGTGTGGGTGGCGAGTGTTAGGCGGTGTGGGTGGCGAGTGTTAGGCGGTGTGGGTGGCGAGCGTTAGGCGGCGCGGGTGGCGAGTGTTAGGCGGTGCGGGTGGCGAGTGTTAGGCGGTGTGGGTGGCGAGCGTTAGGCGGTGTGGGTGGCGAGTGTTAGGCGGTGTGGGTGGCGAGCGTTAGGCGGCGCGGGTGGCGAGTGTTAGGCGGTGCGGGTGGCGAGTGTTAGGCGGTGCGGGTGGCGAGTGTTAGGCGGTGCGGGTGGCGAGTGTTAGGCGGTGTGGGTGGCGAGTGTTAGGCGGTGTGGGTGGCGAGTGTTAGGCGGTGTGGGTGGCGAGCGTTAGGCGGCGCGGGTGGCGAGTGTTAGGCGGTGCGGGTGGCGAGTGTTAGGCGGTGCGGGTGGCGAGTGTTAGGCGGTGTGGGTGGCGAGTGTTAGGCGGTGTGGGTGGCGAGTGTTAGGCGGTGTGGGTCGTGAGTGTTAGGCGGTGTGGGTGGCGAGTGTTAGGCGGTGTGGGTGGCGAGTGTTAGGCGGTGTGGGTGGCGAGTGTTAGGCGGTGTGGGTGGCGAGCGTTAGGCGGCGCGGGTGGCGAGTGTTAGGCGGCGCGGGTGGCGAGTGTTAGGCGGTGCGGGTGGCGAGTGTTAGGCGGTGCGGGTGGCGAGTGTTAGGCGGTGCGGGTGGCGAGTGTTAGGCGGTGCGGGTGGCGAGTGTTAGGCGGTGCGGGTGGCGAGTGTTAGGCGGTGTGGGTGGCGAGTGTTAGGCGGTGTGGGTGGCGAGTGTTAGGCGGTGTGGGTGGCGAGTGTTAGGCGGTGTGGGTGGCGAGTGTTAGGCGGCGCAGGTGGCGAGTGTTAGGCGGGGTGGGTGGCGAGTGTTAGGCGGGGTGGGTGGCGAGTGTTAGGCGGTGCGGGTGGCGAGTGTTAGGCGGCGTGGGTGGCGAGTGTTAGGCGGCGCGGGTGGCGAGTGTTAGGCGGAGTGGGTGGCGAGTGTTAGGCGGTGTGGGTGGTGAGTGTTAGGCGGGGTGGGTGGCGAGTGTTAGGCGGGGTGGGTGGCGAGTGTTAGGCGGTGTGGGTGGCGAGTGTTAGGCGGTGTGGGTGGCGAGTGTTAGGCGGTGTGGGTGGCGAGTGTTAGGCGGTGTGGGTGGTGAGTGTTAGGCGGTGTGGGTGGCGAGCGTTAGGCGGGGTGGGTGGCGAGTGTTAGGCGGCGTGGGTGGCGAGTGTTAGGCGGCGTGGGTGGCGAGTGTTAGGCGGTGTGGGTGGCGAGTGTTAGGCGGCGTGGGTGGCGAGTGTTAGGCGGCGTGGGTGGCGAGTGTTAGGCGGCGTGGGTGGCGAGTGTACGTAAACCGCATCGCGCGTTGCCAGCCTGTAGACAATCTGCCTGCGCTGCCGGTTCTGACCGCGTGTACCCGTCTGTAACCGCTGGCGCGGTGTGTAGGGTGACTGGCGCTGGCCAGCGTGAAGGGACTGGCGATGAGGACGAGGCAGCGGTGGTGGACGTCTGGAGCTTGACCGGCTGTCACCGGCTCGTTGACACCGAGGTGAGGGGAGTGAACGGTGAAGCCGGGGTAATGTGAGGGTGAGGAAAGGTGGAGTAGTTAGGTGATAGTGGTGTGGTGGTGAGGGTGGAGTGAGGTGATAGTGGTGGGGTGGTGAGGGTGGAGTGAGGTGATAGTGGTGTGGTGGTGAGGGTGGAGTGAGGTGATAGTGGTGGGGTGGTGAGGGTGGAGTGAGGTGATAGTGGTGGGGTGGTGAGGGTGGAGTGAGGTGATAGTGGTGTGGTGGTGAGGGTGGAGTGAGGTGATAGTGGTGGGGTGGTGAGGGTGGAGTGAGGTGATAGTGGTGTGGTGGTGAGGGTGGAGTGAGGTGAGGAGGGGGAGTGGTGAGGGTGGAGTGAGGTGAGGAGGGGGAGTGGTGAGGGTGGAGTGAGTGAGCCCTGCCGTGAGGGCACCGTGTGTGACGGCACTTGTGATGATTGTGACGCTGCTTTTCCGATTTAATTGCTGAGGAAATGTCGTTACCTTGGAGATCTGAGCCGTCACGCGGTGCCCGTTACAGGGTGTAGTGGGGTAGGGGTGTAGTGGGGTAGGGGTGTAGTGCTGTGGTGTGTAGGGCTGCAGCACTAAGAGAGGTTGGGTGGTCTGGTTTGGCACGAGGGATGTTGGTGTCTTGTCCGCTCCTCCGCTCCGTGTTGCTCAGATCCGCCGCTCTGCGTTGTCCCCACAGGTGGCTCCGTCTCCGCGTGGCGGTGACGGTGACGAGGAGGAGGAGGGAGCCGCGAGGCCCCCGGAGGTGAGTCCACGGCCATGCTCGCTCCACGGCTGGATGTGAGGTCCGCGTCGCTTAGGACGTGGCGCTTGGTTAGCCATACTTCACCACGCCGGTCGGTGAAGGGGGAATGTGTGTCCCTTCCCACGGGGACTAGCCGTGGGTTGACCGCTGTCCCGCCACTCGCTGGCTCCCTCACGGCTCCCCCCGCCTCCTCCGCTAGCGTCGAGTGATGAGAACACATGACCAGTTCTGCTACCGAGTGACAGTGACGATGCTCAGCTCTGACGACGATGAGGAGGAGGGAGACCCCATGGGGCCGTGGGGGGAGTGTGGTGTGCTCGGTGGTGTGAGGGGAGTGTGAGCGAGTGTGCGTTAGGCCGAGTGAGTGGGGTGTGTGGCGAGTGAGTTGTGAGTGTTAGGCCGAGTTTAGATGTGCGAGTGGGTAGTGACCGAGTACACAAACCGCATTGCGCGTTGCCAGCGTGTAGACAATCGGCCTGCACTGCCAGTTCCTACTTGCGTGGACTCGTCTGTAACGGTGTGGTGTGGTGTGTAGGGTGGCTGGAGCCGGCCACAGTGCAGTGACTGGCGGTGACGACGACGACGAGGTGATGGTGGTGGGCGTCCGGAACTTGACCAGCTCTGTCACCGGCTCGTTGACTACGAGGTGAGAGGGAAGGGTGAAGTGGGGTGAGGTGATGGTGAGAAGGGAAGGGTGGTGAGGGTGAGGAAGGGTGGAGCGAGGGGAGGGTGCAGGGTGGAGCCAGGTGAGGGTGGAATGAGGTGTGGAGGGTGGCTTGAGGGTGGAGCCAGGTGAGGAGGGGGAGGGGAGCGGGGTGGAGTGGTGATGGTGGAGTGTGGAGCCAGGTGAGGGGTGGAGTGAGTGAGCCCTGCCGTGAGGCACCGTGTGCGACGGCACTTGTGATGATTGTGACGCTGCTTTTCCGATTTAATTGCTGAGGAAATGTCGTTACCTTGGAGATCTGAGCCGTCACGCGGTGCCCGTTACAGGGTGTAGGGGTGTAGTGGGGTAGGGGTGTAGTGGGGTAGGGGTGTAGTGGGGTAGGGGTGTAGTGGGGTAGGGTTGTAGTGGGGTAGGGGTGTAGTGGGGTAGGGGTGTAGTGGGGTAGGGGTGTAGTGGGGTAGGGGTGTAGTGGGGTAGGGGTGTAGTGGGGTAGGGGTGTAGTGCTGTGGTGTGTAGGGCTGCAGCACTAAGAGGTTGGGTGGTCATGTTTGGCACGAGGGATGTTGGTGTCTTGTCCGCTCCTCCGCTCCGTGTTGCTCAGATCCGCCGCTCTGCGTTGTCCCCACAGGTGGCTCCGTCTCCGCGTGGCGGCGGCGGTGACGAGGAGGAGGAGGGAGCCGCGAGGCCCACGGAGGTGAGTCCACGGCCGTGTTCGCTCCACTGCTGGATGTGAGGTCCGCGTCGCTTAGGACGTGGCGCTTGGTTAGCCATACTTCACCACGCCGGTCGGTGAAGGGGGAATGTGTGTCCCTTCCCACGGGGACTAGCCGTGGGTTGACCGCTGTCCCGCCACTCGCTGGCTCCCTCACGGCTCCCCCCGCCTCCTCCGCTAGCGTCGAGTGATGAGAACACATGACCAGTTCTGCTACCGAGTGACAGTGACGATGCTCAGCTCTGACGACGATCAGGAGGAGCGGCCCCTGTGTGGCTGAGTGGGAGCGTGGGGCGGGGGGAGTGGGTCGTGAGTGGGTGGGTGGTGAGTGAGTGGTGAGCATTTGGGAATGAGTGGTGGGTGTTTAGGTGGTGTGTGAGTGAGTACACAAACCACATTACACGTTGCCAGCGTGTAGACAATCGGCCTGCACTGCCAGTTCGCACCGTGTGGACTCATCTGTAACGGCACGCGTGGTGTGGTGTGGTGTGTGGTGTAGTGTGGTGTGTAGGACGGCTTGTGCCAGCCCCCGTACAGGGACTTGGCGGTGCCGATGGGGACGACGAGATGGAGGAGGCGGAGGTGGTGGGCGTCCGGAACTTGACCAGCTCTGTCACCGGCTCGTTGACTCCGAGGTGAGGGAGGGAAGGGTGAAGCGGGGTGAGAAGGAAGGGTGGTGAGGGTGAGGAAGGGTGGGGCGAGGGGAGGGTGCAGGGTGGAGCCAGGTGAGGGTGGAGTGTGGAGTGGTGAGGGTGGAGTGTGGAGTGGTGAGGGTGGAGCCAGGTGAGGGTGGAGTGTGGAGCCAGGTGAGGGTGGAGGGTGGAGTGGTGAGGGTGGAGTAGTGAGGTGAGGGTGGAGGGTGGAGCCAGGTGAGTGTGGAGTGGTGAGGGTGGAGTGTGGAGCCAGGTGAGGGTGGAGGGTGGAGTGGTGAGGGTGGAGTAGTGAGGTGAGGGTGGAGGGTGGAGCCAGGTGAGGGTGGACTGTGGAGTGGGGTGGGGGTGGAGTAGTGAGGTGATAGTGGTGGAGTGTGGAGCGGGGTGAGGGTGGAGTGAGTGAGCCCTGCCGTGAGGCACCGTGTGTGACGGCACTTGTGATGATTGTGACGCTGCTTTTCCGATTTAATTGCTGAGGAAATGTCGTTACCTTGGAGATCTGAGCCGTCACGCGGTGCCCGTTACAGGGTGTAGGGGTGTAGGGGTGTAGTGGGGTAGGGGTGTAGTGGGGTAGGGGTGTAGTGGGGTAGGGGTGTAGTGGGGTAGGGGTGTAGTGGGGTAGGGGTGTAGTGGGGTAGGGGTGTAGTGGGGTAGGGGTGTAGTGGGGTAGGGGTGTAGGGGTTGTGTAGAGGGTTAGGGCTGTCGAGAGGGGCTTGGTTGGGTGGTCAGGTTTTCATGTTGACCATGAGGGGGGCGTGTTTGACGCTGCGTCTCCGTGTTGGAGTCTGTGTGTGTGCACGCCGCTCCGCGTCGCTCAGATCCGCCGCTCCGCGTCTCCCCCGCAGGTGGCTCCGTCTCCGCGTGGCGGTCGCGTGGGGGAGCTGTGAGTCCCCCTGAGGTGAGTCAACGGCCGTGCTCGCTCCGCTGCTGGACGCGAGGTCGTGTAGGACGTGGGGGCGCCCGTTTAGCCATGGGGGGGGGGTTGATGGCGGGGTGCCGACCGCTGGCCAGCCACTCGCCCCCCCCCCTCCTCCCGCTAGCGTCGAGTGATGAGAACACGTGACCAGTTCTGCTACCGAGTGACAGTGACGACGTTCAGCTCTGACGACGATGAGGAGGAGGGAGAGGCCCCGGGGGGGGGGGGGGGGAGCGTGATGTGGGGAGTGAGTGTGTGCGAGCGTGATGTGGGGAGTGAGTGTCTGTGCGAGCGTGCGGGGAGTGGGTGTCTGTGCGAGCGTGTGGGGAGTGGGTGTCTGTGCGAGCGTGTGGGGAGTGGGTGTCTGTGCGAGCGTGATGTGGGGAGTGGGTCTCTGTGCGAGCGTGTGGGGGGTGGGTCTCTGTGCGAGCGTGTGGGGAGTGGGTGTCTGTGCGAGCGTGTGGGGAGTGGGTCTCTGTGCGAGCGTGTGGGGGGTGGGTGTCTGTGCGAGCGTGCGGGGAGTGGGTGTCTGTGCGAGCGTGTGGGGGTTGGGTGTCTGTGCGAGCGTGCGGGGGTGGGTGTCTGTGCGAGCGTGTGGGGGGTGGGTGTCTGTGCGAGCGTGCGGGGCGTGGGTGTCTGTGCGAGCGTGATGTGGGGAGTTTCTCTGTGCGAGCGTGTGGGGGGTGGGTGTCTGTGCGAGCGTGTGGGGAGCACGGTCATATCGCAGCGGTTTGCAGCGCACCAACCCGGCGACCCGAGTTTGATTGCCGGCCACCAACACCGGTGACGATTCTCTGAACCGGTCCTTGGCCTTCCCCTAGGTCGACTCGGCCTCAAATAAATACCCGGTGCAGTGTGTAATCAACATCACCACCGCCGCTCTGTGCAGGCAGCGGGTGGTAGTGCGGTGGTGGTGGTGGTAACGTGGTGACGACAGCGTCTTGGCGTCTGTGTGTGTGAGGGCAGCAGGAGGCCGTGATGGGTTCCGGTGCTCGTGGACAACCCGACCGGTGAATCTCCACCGACTACAATCGCCGCTTGCCGCGTGCTGCCACGGTGAGCGATGGGGGTGTCTGTGTGGCAGGGTGTCTGTGTGTGGCAGGGTGTCTGTGACTATGCGCAGTCGGTTCCATAACGCGGTGGTGGTGGTTGTTGAACGCCGTGTGATGGAAGCGCCGCGTAGTAATCAACAATGTAGGGGGTAAAACAGTCTCGTGGTAACGCGCGAGACCATAATGTGTGTTTTGGGTTGCCTAATTAAGTTGTGAAGAGGGAGTATACAGCATTATAGACGTTATCCAATTAACACTTCTGAATCACTAAATTAACTTCCACGTAAAATGAGTAACAGTGGCTACAGATCATTGGAATATATTCACGGGATCCAGCCCCAAAAACCCGTGTGGATGATATTGGTTGCGCTGGCCTGCTGCTGCTACTGCTGCTACGTGTTGAACTGATGGTGAAGGTGAAACACGCAGGGCCAGAACGCGGTGGTGGTGGATGGGTTTCGTCCAGAAGCAGCATCCCCATTGCCTCTGCTACGATTGCGATGACGGTGCGACGTCTAATTCCTACTTTTCCTGCGACGTTGTTCCGTTGCCTCTACAATTGGCGTTGGTTAAAGCTGCCCGCGAGGGTAGAGCGGGGACCGTGCCACACTAACTAATACTACCAGCTGGTGTTTCACCCTTTCTGTCAGTAAAACAGGGGAGGTGTTTGAGATGTTTAAACACCAAATAGAAACCTTGTTCAAGGAATCGAGTGCTGCTGCATTCACCACACACGACTTGTGGTGAACATGCACCACGCACATGCGCTGGTAATCTACGATGCGGTCGTCTTTGAATGCACGGATTGGCCTCCGTCAGAGACGGCCGATGCATAAAGATTATCAGAGCATGTTCACCGCACGTGCCGCGTGTGGTTAATGCAGTAAACTTGATCGCTTGCATCATCCGTGTAGTTGGTGTGAGAACATCTTGACACAACTCCTGTTTATTGCCACAAAGGGTAAAACCTGTTGTTATTTTGACACTGGCGGATCCAATTGTACGTGTGGTGCACGTTGAACTTCTTTCGTGCCGTACGTAACCAACCGTGCTAATGGAAAGGGTGCAGGGAAGGACGATAAACTAAACACAAAGTTTGATAGCTGAGCGTGCGGGGGGGGAGGGGGGGGATCCACTGGTGGGCGATCGGCGGCGTGGGATGATGATAACCCAAAGTCGCGAGGTGGGCGTGGGCCGTTACGGTCACATGGCGCCCTCCCATGATGCCGCTTTGTCATAGTTACTCTGACCACAGCGCGACGCTTCACGCACACACCCCGAGTTGACCCACGGGGTCTGTGTGTGTGGTTTGGGAGAGCCGGCTACCTCCCCGCTGCTGGCGCCGCTCCGTCCGCGCGTGGGGATCGTCGCGGCAAACGTGCTCCGTGTGCCGTGCGAGGGTGACGTGTGAGGGTGACGACGTCTGGGCTTTGTGTCGTTACTCCGGGCAGGTGACGCGGTGGAGGCGTGACGACGGAGGCGATGGCTGCCGATGGAGGTGACGCCACAGGCGGCGATTCGGACAACAATGATGGTGACGCCGGAGGAGGTGGTGAAGACTGACGTCGCGAACCAGCGTCGATGAGCTTCTCACAAAGGGGGAGGGTGCTTGTGTTGGCTGATGAAATGTTGAAAAACCCAATAAAACAACTAGTCAGCAACTACCACTGTGTGAAGCGGTTGTTTATTCACGTCTCTCTAATCGCGAAGCTGCTCTGGTGACCTGCACGTGTGGATGGCGGCAGCGCTGCTGCTGCTGCTACGAGCTCCATTATCAACAACGTGACGTCCACTAAAGCTGGGCCCGACTGTGTTGTCTACTCACTCGGCACTAGAACATGCAACTTGTACACACGCCGGGCACAACCACGACACGGCCTTGGCTCGCCTGCACACTCGCCCACCCGCTCGTCAACTTGTCCATCCACAGACCCACCCATTCATCCATTTGGTGGCCACCCACTCATCCAGCCACCCATTCAGCCACTCGCCCATGCGCTCCTTCACCCTATTGACATAAAAAAGTGTACAGGGCAGTTTCAAAATACTGAAGTGTTAAATAAATTTATTGAGTACTCTCTTTACTACCCGGCTTTGTCCGAGACTTGGAGTCTTGGATTGATACACGGCCGACGAGGAGGGGGGGGGGGATGTGTGACGTCGACAGGCACATTGCGTGACGCTGCTGCATGCTGGTGACGTCACCGCTCGCTTGCCGTGCAAAATTTCCCACCCCCAAAATACAAAAGCCTCTTTGTATACTTATTGCCAGAGGTGGGACAAAGTCATTGTTATGCAAGTCCAAGTCGAGTCTGAAGTCATCAAATTCATGACTCGAGTCTGACTCGAGTCCAAGTCACATGACTCGAGTCCACACCTCTGCTTATTGCGTTGTGTACAGTCTGGAAGCTACCCACATGCCACATTTAAAGTGTGTTGCATGTTGGGAAGTTTGCTAAACATTTCAAACTGACTCCACAAATTTCCCTTCTCGATGAATGTGGTGTAAAGGTTTTTATAACTCGAGTCATTGGTGATCAATATGCGCACGTTGTGGTGTTCAGTCGAGGTACAAGTGCGTGTTTTTGGTTGGGTGTGAAGCACAGCACCATTTCTCCACGGTAAAGTTTGTCCGGGGTGAGTTGGCGCGAGAGTGAATGTGTCGCTAAACCCGCCACCACCAGCCACGCGGCCAATCTGCCGGGGAGGTTCTTCACATAAACAAAACCGTGGTGAGTTAAACCCACGATTATGACATTTACACGATTACTCCAAGACAGAGGTACTCTGCAAACCTACCGGCTACCTTCAGAGATTTGTTCATGAAGCCGTCCAGATATATAAACAAACTTCAACCGAGAGGATGGGTACGAACTGAGCTGTCATTGGAAGGACGTAATTAACCGGGTTCGAGAAGGAGGACGTGGCGAGGGGCGGAGAGAGCCGGGGCTGACTACAGTATATAAGCCGGACCGCTGAACGGGTCTGGCTGCTGTTGTATTCTCGACCTGAAGCTGTCACCCTGAAGAGCCCGAAGACGGGACCCGGACCCCAGCCAGGGTCGGGTCGAAGTCGGCCTCCCCAGTGTGTTGGGGCGCGTCAGCCCGGAGGGTACACCTCCGTAGAGTATTGGGTGGAAGGTGCCGCTACCCCTTCGTGTTAAGGTCTATTATACTGGTAGGAACGAAGTGGACCAGTCTACAATAGATTATATCGTCTGTCCGTTTGATGTCCGTCCGTCCATGTAGCAACATCGCCCCCTACTGCAAACACTTGGCATGATCCTACAAAACCTTTAGACTCAGTGACGCTTTCCTGGCTAAACAAGTGTAACATTCCCTTATAATTCCCTGAGATAGCTTTTAATTAAAACTTTAAAATTCAAATTTTACTCACAGCGCCCTAAAGCCTACAGCTAGGCCTAAAGCCTCGAACTACGCCTATCACTCTCCCTTCGTATCGTACCCCCGCGTGTGTGAAAGGGAGTTAATGTTTTACAATGTTACATTCCCTGATGTTTTTAAATAGAAACATTTACATTTAAAGCTTTTACATAAATAATTAAAACATTTAAATTAACAATTAACTCACAGCGGCCTAAAGCCTACAGCTAGGCCTAAAGCCTAGAAATAGGCCTCACACTCTCCCTTCGTATCGTACGATTCGGTGTAGCAACATCGCCCCCTACTGCAAACACTTGGCAGGACCCTACAAAAACCTTTAGACTCAGTGGGGCTTTCCTGGCTAAACAAGTGTAATAATACATTATGTTTATATTCTTTGGTTATTCGTTCCTACTAGCCCACCCCGCAGGGTCCTGTTTGTTATAATAAACGTGTTGCTTCTAGTAAAGTCTCGCTCTCCCTTCTACCCACTACACAAGTGTAGTGGGTTAAATTCAGGCGCACACTGGACTACTATCTAAACACAACGGGTAACCGTTAACATTAACAGGATAACGACATAGGGTGGTGGAGACCACCGTCCCTAACTTAGCCAACACGGGGATACTACTACATCACTGGACCCGAGACCGAGGATCGTAGATGGTGGCTTCATCCCAGAGTTGGCCCAGCAGACGGCACAGAACAGCGAAGCTCTCCGTCCACGCCCCGCTGGCAACACCTCCGGCGTGGCCGCCTCCACTCCAAGCCACGCCCCTTCCCGATCCTTCGGGAAGACCCGAACCCCAACCACGTGACCCCCCTTTATCTGGTCACGTGTCCTGTTGGGTCCACGCAGAGTGTCAGGGCCCGACACGACCCCGTGACACCCGCCACGAGCCGGTAGAGTCGTGTTGTTCTCCGGCACCGCACAAGGTGAGGAACCACAGCGCTACTCTCTTCCCCCGTGGGCTCTGGCGAGTATTCCGCTCCGGGGCGGGCGAGCGAGAGACGCAGAGGGACAGGCGGCGAACAACGGAGCGCGCGGCGGTAAAGGCGCTGGTGCCGTGCCCCCCCCCGGGGGGTCCCGGCGCTGGTGCCGTGCGGCTGAACCCTCCCCGGCACTGCAGGAAGTGGCGGCCGCGGAGAGGCCCGAGGGGAGAGGCCCGAGGGGAGCTGCTGCTCCTCCGGGACGTGGGTGGCGATGCCAGCGGCCGGCGTTGGGACGAGGTGGGCGCTACCTGGGGTAGCCCACTCGCCGGGCTGGAGCTTGCCGGGGTAGAGGGGAGTGGTGGTGGTGGTGGTGGCGGTGGCGGTAGAGGGGGTTGGTGGTGGTGGTGGTGACGGTGGTGACGGTGGTGGTGGTGGTGCTGGCGGTGGTGGTGGTGGTGGTGGCCGCATGTCGCTTGCGGAGCCTCCCAGAGAGTGGCTACACGGCGTTGTAGGCGGCGGGGTCAGGCAGTGGAAACTTGCCGGGCTCCATCTCCTCACCGTCGTACCCCTCCTCCTCAGCGTCACCGTCGTCCTCCACGCTGGGGCCCAGCACCCAGTCTACGGGGTGGGGGGGAGATGGGGGAGGGGGTGACGTGTTCAGGCGCACACTTTAGCCACGCTCTCGTTGTGCAACTGCTCGCTCAGATGCTGGACAAAGCAGTCGCAGGGAGACTGAGGAGGTCAACTACAAAACGACTCAACGATTGTGTACGCTCCAAATGTACAGCGGCGGCGGCAGGGATCGTCAGGGTCGGGATGGAACCCACGACCTCCTGCAGACCAGGCGAGGTAGTTAACATCTCCTAGCCTCTGTGATGATGATGAGAGAGAGACGCAGACTCCAAATATACAGCAGCAGCAGGCATCGTCAGGGTCGGGATGGAACCCACGACCTCCTGTAGCCCAGGCGAGGTAGTTAACATCGCCTGAGCTGCTGGTGAAGGTAAAACGACGATCAGATGCTCGCCCCCCCCCCGCCTCGCGTCACCTGAAGCGTCGTCACGAGCAGCGAGAACCATAATCCGGCTCTGCTTTTCCAGGCTGCAACTGGGTCAAGGTGGGACCCGGCTGGGGATCTCGTGGGGGTCTCAGCCCTCTACCGTCACGTGGTCGTGAGTGGGGGACAGGGGGAGGGGCGGGGCAGCCCGCTACCGTCACGTGGTCGTCAGTGGGGGACGGGGGGAGGGGCGGGGCAGCCCGCTACCGTCACGTGGTCGTGAGGGGGGACAGGGGGAGGGGCTTTGACATCTCCATCATCGAGATGACTGACAAAGTCATTCGTTTAGAACGGCTACTTCTTGTGTTTAGTTTGTTGTTGTTGTGGTTGTTGTTGTTGTTGTGTTTAGTTTGTTGTGTGAGGGTAAATGGGCGAGGTTTAGGACTGTGCCTCATGCAGCTGCAATGGCTGCTTTGGGTACGCGGTCCAAACCTCCCAGAGACCCTGGCTGACAGAGGAGGTGTTCCAGCTGGCTGAGAAAAAGCGACAGGCCCACTCTCACCGTCTACAGCATCCCACGTCAGAGAATGAGGAGGCTTACCGCAGCCTTCGCTCGGAGGTTCACAGAGCCGTGCGGCGCTGCAAGGATGGGTGGTGGTCGCGGGTTGCTGAGGAGATGGAGTCTGCCTCAGTAGCTCGCGATCACAAATCACTCTTTAACTCCATCAAAAAAGTAATTTGCAGTGCCACACCTATCACCATCATGAGGAGAAAGAAGGGTGATTTGAACTCTGACCCCCAGGAACAGATTTGCAGATTTGCTGAGCATTTATATGAGGTCTTGGGGGAGGGGAAATCCCTCAACCTGGAAAACACCATGGGGCAATATGGGGATGACCCTGCTGAGGCTGCGGTGCCTCAAATATTTGAAGAAGTCACCCCTTGTGTTGAGTAAGTACAGAAGGCAGTGCAGAGTTGCTGAGGAGATGGAATCTGCCTCAATAGCCCGCGATCACAAATCAAGTCTTGACCACTGGACGGGTTCCGCAGGATTGGAAGGATGTCCTGGTGGTCCCCCTCTTTAAGAAGCGGGACCGCACAGACTGTAGCAACTACAGGGGCATCTCACCCATCATTGTGTCAGGAAAGGTCCAGGCAAGGATTATTCAACATCGCCTTGCTAGGCACGCTGAGGAGAGGCTTGCAGAGCCCCAATGCGGTTTCAGGAAAGGGCGGTCCTGCACAGATGCCATATTTTCTGTCCGTCTGCTACAGCAGAGGTGTAGGGAATTCCAGCAAGACCTACATCTCTGCTTTAGTGACCTGGCCAAGGCCTATGATACCATCAGTA